CGTCTTCCCGTGGCAGCCAATGAGATACTTTGGAACAGAAGTTTGTCCAAAACGTCGAGATTTTGTTGGTCGTTGAGATCGTCTGATACGGCAATTTGTTGACCTGTCTCCTTTGTCTGGTCCTTTCGGCCTTTCTCCAGCATGTTAATACACTTGTCCTTTAACGTAGTGCTCCCAAAGTCGCCTCTTCCTCATTATAAACGTGTACCGAGATTTGATCATCTGTGGAATACAAGGCCAAGATACAACTATATACTAGTTTATTTTTTTTTTTTTTTTTTTTTTTATTTTTTTTAATTTTTTTTAAAAAAAAAAAAACACTACCTGGCCGTGTAGCGCCTAGGACATTGCCCGACACCAGCGAATACTAAAGGAGCTACTCCGTTCTGTCATACAAAGAGCGACTCAGCGTGTTCGGCGGGCTGTTCGCGTTTGTTGACTCTGGATTCAGATTGCTGCAGATTCAGCCAAATAAGATGAGCACTCGGCACGGCGGACGATGGACCTGAAACGACATCGGAAAAGGGTCAAATTCCAGTGAGACTGGAGACTGCGAGACTGGGACTCGACTGGCTGTGGCTAAAATTACAACATTCAGACACAACAAAAAGAGAAATAAGACGCGCAACGGGAAATAACAACTGGAAGCGCCTATCTCTGCTGCAGATCGACTCAATTCTTACCTACTGCCTTTGCGTAAGCCGTTCCTTCTCTTCCAGCTGCTCTTGCCAGCCCCGCACAATGCATGGGATGGGTAGGCGCCCCGCAAAAAGAACGCAAGAACGGGGCCCCTGTCCTGCCTTTCTGGTCCAGAGAGGGCAAGTCCTCGCACGATTCCCCGAGTCATTACGGCGCCATACTACGGAGTACGGAGTACTTTGCCGTTTGTACTGAGGATCCCACCAACGTACGACGTAACGCCCGGACGCTTATTCGTATGCCCTTCTGTCCTTCTCCCCTTGTGCACACACGGCACGACAACGACACCGCCATGTCTTCTGCCTCGCTGTGCCTCATCTTCCTGTTGCAAAAGTGCGTCAGCTGTGCGCCGGCTCGTCAACGATCCCGAGCCAGCGGCTGAGCGTTGTGCTGTGCGCAGTTGCCGCCATCCGCCATTGCTTGCAGCAAAAGCACCAAAGTGTGCACAACTACGGCGATCCTGTGGGCAGAGGGCACTTGAGAACAGCGAGAACAACAACAGTGACCACAGTTCCCGGCACTTTTGTTGCTCAAGCTTGCATCGTCATGGACATCGTAGACATTGTGCAACACGGCCACCTCGGAAGGGAATTACGGAGCATGTTTGAGTATGTTGCTGGTTGTTGTTTCGGCTGGACGTTGCTTTTACGTTATTTTTAGTGTTCTCACTACCTCCGCGGTCTGGCATATGGCAGTGTCCCGAGTTTCCTCTCGCGTTTTGCCCGTCTCGTCTGTCTCGTTTCCTGGTCGTATCGCATCGGCGTTTCTTCTCGTTTTCTCACTCTGCAGGTGTCTCCACCGTCCTCTGCACCGCGTCCAGTTTTCTCCAGTTTTTGCTTCTTTCAGCAGGTCCCGCCCAAGCAAAGCAGCCAGTGAGAGAGGCTTTGCGCCCTTCCTTGTCCAGGCGCCCGGCGTCTTTTTCCCTCCTCATCATCCATGTGAGCGCCGCAACCCACTTGCTCCTACACACCGTGGAAGCAGACGCCACAAAATCCCCAAAGAATGCAATACAAGCAGACGATGTATCTTCACTGTTTGACGCAGGTCCTCAAAACCAAGCGTTTGTCGGTACCTGACGTGAAGGCGTCGTCTGTGCAATGCATCGTATTATTACTTCTGTACTCTGGGTCATCGTACTTGTAGAGGGTCAGAGTCACTGGACCCCTTTGCATAGCCATTCTCCTGCCAAACGGGGACAACGCCTGGGAGGTTACAACCCCAAACACCGTTCGACATCAAGTAAAGGCTCAAAAATACCGCGTTTTAGTTTCGCCTTTCTCGGCTCTCCACCAACCTGCCAATCTGCCAATCGACTAATCTGCCTCTGCCTTTTTGCCTCTGTGGCCCGTCTCCGCTTCGTGGAGCATTGGGGAATACTTGGATACTTACTTTGTGCCGTAATTCTGTCGCCCGATCGTTCTGTCGGTGTTCCTTCCTTGTGCGTGTACGCGCACCATCGGACCCTTTTTTCGCTTCCTATTGCAGGCGCGACCGCCTTCGTAGAGAGACCCGTCTTGGCCGCCCGCGCCTGCCCACACGAGCAACATGTGCATTTGGGCTATTTCGTAGGCGACTTTTAAAAAAATAAATCTCTCGTTTTGGAAGGCGCCTGCCCCATCTTAATCCTCGCTTTCCCATTGTTTCTTAATTTGGAGAGAGATCTTGCTTCTCTTCCTCTTTCCCCTGATTTTTTGTCTTGTTTTCTTCTCTCCTTTTCTTCTCTTATCTCATCGTCAATTCCACGTCGACACTGCCCCCCGACACTCTTCACCATTCTTGTCGACCTCGAAATACACACCCCACCGTGTAAGTCGCCCTGCTCTCTTGGCGGCCGTCGCTCAATCGCCCTTTTGGACCAGCTCCCATCGCACCTTCTCGACGACTGCAATCTTGACCGTGTCTTTTCGTTCTCGACAAAATAAATAAAACTTTCTGTTTCCTCGAAGCAGCCGCCGCCCTCTTGTCGAACCGCCGTCAGCTACATCTTCATATCCCAATATCCTTACATCTCCATATCTGTACACCTTGCTCATCGTACAAATTTCCGGTGGCCCACCAGGTACGTACGCCCATGCCAAGGCTGCTGCTCCTTATGATCACCATCTTTTGTCTCTTTGTCTCTTGTCTCTTGTCTCTTGTCTCTTGTCTCGTGTCTCGTTTCTCGTTTCTCGGTCTCATCCAAGCCATCGCCCAACGCATTCTTTGATGTCCACGTCCTCTGGCACAACCACATTCACAATGACAACCACAATCCTAAATTACGACGACGTCCCAGACGACAAGTCAAAGCCAAGGAGCTACGCCTCGCCTATCATCCTCTCCCCGCCCATACGGACGACAGTCTCCCAGATGCCAAGTGAAGGGACGTCCCCAGAACTGTCTCCGCCTGCACTACCCATTGCGTTGGAACAAAACGCACGAAGCATGAGCGTACGAAACATGACCATCGCCATTGCGTTGCTTTGCAATTGTTGACCTTGGTCGTTGTCTTCCATTCTCTTTTCTTGGCAGGTTCTATAAGAGAGTCTGGCCTGCCCCTGTTTCGTTCTTCAAGTCTCCAAGTGGAAAGGCCAACTTCCCTCGTTATGCTTTTTATATAATCCCCCCGTCCACAACAACTGCCCGTCACTCTTACCTGTTTATAACTTGAACCTCAAGATTCAGTCTGTCTCTTATTTTTACTCTTTTCTCATTCTCGTCTTTTCACTTCTCTCTTTTTTGCACGCCTCAAACATCTCCCAGTACGGCTTTTCCGCGGAGCCAGTTTATCTCCGTCAACCGGACTGCTCCCTTCCTAAGCACACCAAAAAAACACCGGCACAACCAACTACACACAACCAAGAAAAGCCAGGAAAACACCGAGACCGAAATACCCGCCAAAGCCTCAGGACTGGCCCTAGCAATTTCGCCACGCTCACAGTGTCCATTGCCCTGGAACATTTCTTGGAACATTTCTTGGAACACTTATTGGAACAATTTTTGGAACCACTCCCCTCCGTCGCATGTCACCGTCTTCTCACACGTTGCGTCGTGCCGTTTTCCCTCCCCTTCTCCATCTTGGCCCCAACACTAAATCCAAGTCAAATACGACGGCCAGTCAACTGTCCCCAATCTCACCGCGTGCGCTGTTTCTGGCACGCAGCTTTCCCTACTAAGACACAAAGGCACTTGGCTGCGATGAGCGCGAGGACCACCATTAACGCCACCACCACACATGCTCCTAAGCGTCCAAATCAACTAACACGCTTTGCAACCGCAGTCTCCCAATTCTGACTCTATAGCGGCTCTTCTCTCTCCCCTCTTTACCAGATCAGCGCAACCGATCTCCCACGACGAGGTGTCTTACTATTTTCGGCCCTCGTCGTTCTCGTCGCCGTTTCGCACCTCCTCTCCGCTCGCCGAAACAATAGTCTTCGAACCAAACAACGCATTCCGTACCCTAGACCAAAATTCAGACGAACAAACATCCGCAAATGGGTGCCCTTTTGTTTCGGTAGTCTAGTTGCCTCTCGCCAAACGAAAACGAAACTGTCGAATCGAGTAGTCGAACAATTTGATAATCGAACAGTTCAAGGACAGAACCGCCAAGCTCCTGCCCTCGTCGTTTTCATTTGGGTTGACCCTCGATTCGCCACCACCCCCCCTTACCCTTTCTGCCCTTGTTGTCCGTTCTGCCGCCACTAAAAACAAGCCGCTGTGACAGCCCAGCCCGTTTTTTCTTCGCTCCTTCCAGAACCTTACTGGAAGAACCTTACGTCTGCCGGCCAGCTCCTACCGTCAGCATTGCATCACCTAATACAACAAACACTAGGCCACTCGCTCCTTCGCTCATTGCCAACCTCCGTTTCCCACCTTCTTTCCCCATACGCCTCTATACAATGGCCGTCGCATCTCCTGTAATGCACTCCACCGCCCAATCAGCATCGCTTTTAGGTACGTTCTTCGGTGAATCTTAATTTTCCCCCGTCTCTCCGTCCTGGTATATTTTTGGGGAACACTGTCAGCTGCCCTTTTGCGCCTTTTCTGTGCTTTTGTCATCCATCATTCTTAGTCCCGTTTTGTCTCTTTCCCCTTACGGCCTTTTCGTTCTTGCTCTCCTTGCTGCCCTTCGCTCTTTCCTATTTTAAATTTAAAGTTTTGTTTTGTTATTTCCCCTCTCTGTGTAGACCGCGTTGCCCCCTTCCACCATCTTCAAATTTATATTGTTCTCTCCTCACCTTTGCCTCTCTTTTTTTTCTGACTCTCCCTTCCCGCCATCCCGCTTTCTACCACCCCTGTCTTGCCTTATTTTACTCACACATATGGCAGAAAGCGACGATACTGATAGCGAGCCACCGCGACCGTATTCGTTTGAGCGTCCGAGCCACCTCCAGTCTATTCCCTGCCAAAGTGCTCTTCAAACCACGGATAGCCAATTGCAGCGTCAAGTCTCTGACAAGCTCTCCTCGCCTACTGTCAATATCCCGCATCACGATCCAACACCGATTCAGCAAACTACTTACAAACCCATCGATGTGCCGGCTGGCTCTTCGTCTCTTCCCCAAACCATTCTTCAATCTCTTTCCTCTTCGCCGCACTCGCCGGACCGCCCTTATTCCGTTGTGGAAGTTGTAGCCGTGCATGACACTATTATTGAGGAAGACGATGAGACCGATTACGACACGCCCAACGAACCAGTTACACCTGTAAGCGGTCGTGAGTCCCGTGAAGGATTTCATTCGGTCGAGTCCCAGCCGGAGACCATTCCTCTTCCCAAAACAGAGACGGGACCCGTTGCCGTCTCCCATACGCTCGGTCTTCCTCCCACTTCTCACCCCGTTGTTCAGAACGAATCCCAACAAAGCAAGCTGCCTCACTCGAACCAGGACTACCGGAATCACGCTCAACGGCACCCACGCCACCGGCGGACGTTGAGCAACACGTCTGACGGTGCCGATTTGTCCACTTCACCAAACGCCAACGGCAGCCTCTTTTCCAACGTCAAAAGCAACACGCCTGTGTCGACGCCGGCAAGACACGCCCCACCACCTCTCACCACGACCGGCCTAGACCAGCAAATTGAGCTTTCTCGCACTGCTGGCCTGCTCCCGGAGTCTCCCACTTCAGCCCGTCCGTCAACTGCCGTTAACGGCTCGTTTTTGATCGGGCCTCCCACTTCTGTCCCCAACACTCAGTCTAGCAGCACAACTGCTGGGCACACCTCTCCCAGTACCGACACCGCCCAGGGTGCTCCACTAACCCGTCGCCAATCTCGGACATCGACAAGTAGCTTCAAACGCACAATGTCGAGTTTCTTCCGCCGCAGCACGTCCGAGAAGGCGGACAAGGCGGACAAGATTGACAAGCCCGAAAAGACGTCGTCTGTCGGCTCACCCGAGCTCAACAACGTGACTTCAGAGTCTAGCCTTATCGAAATGGCCATCAACGGCACCCCTCGAAAGGTCCCCGCGCGCCGCTGGTCTATGCACCGGTCACTCGCCAATACGCCTCCTTCGCCCAACTCGCCTCCTCTGGAAATGGTTGCCGGTGCCAGACACGGCGTATCAACGGACAGCACCACGGCGACAACCGCCGTCGACCCCGGAAATGAGCCGCGTACTAGCCAAAACGACAGCCGCATGCCCACGCAGGACGACTTTTTGCAAAACGATAGCAAGAAGCACCGCCAGCGTGCGTCGACCACTGGCATCAACTTCCAGAGTGCCATCCACATCGTGACGGGCGGCAACGCCCCCCTCGGCAGCCGCAAGAACAAGCCCAAGACAAAGGCTCGCACCGAGTACCGGCGCCGGGCTAGCAGCTTCGACCACGGCACCGAGAAGCGGGTTATTGGAAACGCTAGTCAGCCCTGGGCCATGCCCGCTGAAGCCGGTACTGGTCTTAAGGCTCGCCGTATGAGTTTGAGCCTGCCGGATGACTTCACCGTGGATGTTGTTGACCTGCACAGTGAGTTCGACTACCAGCACATGCTGGGCCGCCACCGCCGCCATATTGGCAAGGGCGCCACGTCCAAGGTTACCCTCATGTTCCGCAAGGGCTTCCCCGACGAGCTCTATGCCGTCAAGGAGTTTCGTGGCAAGTCGTCCAGCGAGACCCCCGAGGAGTACGAGAAGAAGGTCAAGAGCGAGTATAGCATCGCCAAGAGCCTGCACCACCCCAACATCGTCGAGACTATTCGTCTGTGCACAGACCACGGCCGCTGGAACCACGTCATGGAGTACTGCCAGGAGGGCGACCTGTACAGCCTGGTTGAGAAGAAGTACCTCACCACGCCTGAGCGCGAGAAGGACCGTGTCTGCCTGTTCAAGCAGCTCATCCAGGGCCTCAACTACCTGCACCAGCACGGCGTTGCCCACCGCGACATCAAGCTGGAGAACCTGCTCATCACCAACAACAGCAAGCTTAAGATCACCGACTTTGGTGCGTCCGACATATTTTCGGGCATGCACCCTGGTCTGCGCGAGGCCGGTGGCCGCTGTGGCCGCAACACCGACAAGACGGTCCGCCTTTGCAAGCCCGGCATCTGCGGCAGTCTGCCGTACATCTCGCCTGAGGTCCTGGAAGGCACGGTCCCCTACGACCCCCGCAAGCTCGACGTGTGGGCAGCTGCTATCGTCATGCTGAACCTCATTTTCGGCGGTCCGCTTTGGACCGAGGCCCGCTTGGTGCCCGGGCAGGCCAATCCGCAGTACCAGTCTCTGCTGCGCGGCTGGGAGAAGTACAACCGGAACCACCTGCCCGGTCGCCTCGCTGCGGAGAAGGAGCATGCAGACAAGGTTGCTGCCGAGCAGTCTGCAACTGCAACTGGCGCTCCTGCCAGCCCTGCCTCGACCCCTGCTGATGGTGGCGCCGACCTGACGGAGACCGTATCGCAGCTGTCGATCCAGCAGGTGGCTTCCGCTGCTGCCGCAGCGCATGCGGCCCAGAATGGTGCTGCCCCTGTCCCCACTGCATTGACGAGCTCCCGTCCTACTGTGGATGGTACGCCAATCACGGACGGCAACCCCAACAGCCTGGTTGAGGGCAGCTACCCTGCCGTGTCGGCGCTCGACATTTGTGTGAATCCCCCGCTTTTGCGTCGTGTTCTTATTCAGATGCTGAATCCAGACCCGAGCCGGCGTCCCACTATCGAGCAGATTGCCAACCTGCGTTGGATCCGCGCCATCGAGTGCTGCCAGCCGGAGTCTTACGAGGACCCCATGGCGCCTGCGGTAACGACGGGCAACGTGCGCGGCGGCATCGATGCCTCGAAGCGCAGCACGACAAACATTGGCGGCCAGAAGGTTTTCTGCCATAACCACCTGCCACCTAAGACCCACAGCCACGCAATTGTCCGCGTCCCCTAGTGAGCGACGCGATACGATTCGAACCGCAGCTGTTGAAGAACACAGACACACGTGATGCCTTTATATAATGGCTGATATTTTCGAAGATGAACATAATAGAGTTGGGGGTTGAGAGCCGTGGAGGGGATTATGTTTCTTTCCTGTTGCGGTTGCACGAAGAGTGGAAGACGGGAAGAGGAGGGGGGATAAGGAACGTGGACAAAGCAAAGCGCGCACCCGCCGCCACCAGCTCTCGATTCTTGTCGTACACATGACAGGTGCAGCACGCCGGTCTGATGGCCGTTGGGGGCGTTGTTTGTGCTTCTGCTTCCACCTTCTTTTCCATGGCTTTGCCTCGATTTGGTTTTGTTCTGTCCTTTTTTCTTTTGTTTTGATTCGATCGCTTATTCCTGCTGCATATGGCTCGGCGTTTTTTGGGCTGCTGCACACAGAGACAATACACCATTTTGTTCTCCTCATGACGGACGGCGTTTTTTTGGCGTTTTTCACTTTCCTAACCCTTGGCCTTTGTGGATTGACAGACCACCTGCCAGTCTTTGTCGCCCAGAGTCATGTGGTTCTGGTTTGGATTTCTATTTGATTTCCCTTTCAATTTTCTTTGAATTTTCTTTGATCTTCCTTTTGTTCACACAAACCTGTCTTTTTCCTCTGTCTACTGGTATACTCAACCCGATGAGTTGACCAACTGCATAATCGCGTGCGTGTGCATTCACCCCTCGTGTCATCGAACAGAGGGAACGGGGAGCATTTTAACACAATATGGAGGCTCACTTGCTTTCATGTTTTTATATTCAAATGTTCTTTTCGCTATATAGCCTGCCGACCCTCTTGCTATTACGTTACTTTACGCTTCACAAATACTTTGTTAACACACGTTGACTCTTTTATATCAAATCCGCAAGAGTGAAGGCAATTACGCCGTTTGTAGAGGTTACAAAAATATTCTGACGTACCCAATACACCCTACTGTGAACATGTTGGGGTTTACGGCACAGAAACTAAAAGACGGCTACCCGCATTGGTATTTATTGCTTTTGCTTTTTTCTTTGAAGCTGAAAGGTGTGCACTTTGGTAGACCAGTTCCGCTCACCTTATTTCTTTGGCCCTAGACATGCCAGAGTGAAGAACAGCCCCCTTCACTAATAGCGTTTTGCCCCTGACTGGATCTTGGCGCCACAAGGGAACGTAAACGCAGGTAAGTTTCCTTCCTTGGGATAAGAATGGCGCCGAGAGGGCTGTAAAGTAAGCTTCCTGGGGGGCAGCAATAAGCCAAACGCATTCCAAGTTCGTCCTCGTCGACCTGCGAACGATCTGGCAGTGGCTCCATGATGAGTCCATGACCAAGAACCATATGAAATCCCCACCGGCGACGCTGTGTCATGAAACACAGGAAACGTACTCGTGCCAACCTAAATCGCTTGTCAGGTCTGACTTTGCGAATTCGTCTATGGCTGCGCATTTGTGCCACATTCGGCTGTCAAGGTGGCTCTGTCCCTCGTATTCACGTATTCCGTACTAGACGAGAATTGTGGGACGGTACGGCACGGGGTACTTTTGACTATCCTCCGCACAGAAAGGAACTATCTCCAGTTGCTGGTCGTACCTGCTCTGCATCGAAGCCTCCCCTCGCTCGGTCGCTTGTTCCCCAAGTGCTTGCACCCAAAGGGGCGGTCTGTGGCTCTTTTCTTCATGCCAATTCTCATGACAGTTCGTGCCTCTTTATTGACCTTATGCCCTTTGTCGCCCATGTCGGGCATCTTCACAAGCGTAAGGGGTACGGACCCACTTTTGCATCCCCAAAAGGCGACGCCAGCTCGCTCGCTTCCAATGGCAGCGCGGCTCCCTGCATAGCATTGGAAGGACCCGCTTTTCTCGCCCGTTTGGTAAAGAGGCCACTTCAGCAAAAGTCTAAAGGCGGAGGAAACCAGGTCCCAGCTGTGACCACAGGCAAATGGGGGGAAAGCGCTGCGCCAAACTAACGCCGTAGCACACGAAAACGGCTGGACAACGCGTGTTTTCTACTGCACCCCTTTCTCGTCTCTCCCCATCTCTTGTCTCCTTTCTTGAGCATCCCTCTCGTGAAAGCCAGAGTCGACCACCACCACCCGGGGCTTCGTCTTTTGCCGTCAGCATCCCTTTCGAGTGTTCTCTTTTCTTCTCTTCTACCAGGTGTCGTTTATACATTCTCGTTACTCTTCTTCCACTCTTTCAGGCCTTCTTTTTTAATTTTTGCGTCCTTTCGTCACCTCCCCGTCATCTCCCTCCTCCTCGCTTTATCCTTGCTCCAATCGACTGTCGTTTTTATCCGCCTCAAAACGACAATCCTCAGGCTCTCGTCCTTTTCCCCCGGATCTCCGTACCTGTCGATCACAGCCATTTGGACCCTCGTGGACGACATCCTTTTGCGGCTTCCAATGACGAGCACCTGAACGATTTCGACAAAAACTCGTGTTGCGCAACCCCAATTGTCATCGACTCGATACTCCCCCCTTCCTCTCCCGTCCAGATCCCATCACCATGGGTCGCTCCGGTGCTGCACGCTCGCCATCGGCACGGGCGTCGCCGCCGCCTTCGGGCAAGCCCAAATCCAAAAAGGACGCTGCTGTCATCCGCCCGGACGACTACTCGTCCGATGGTGTCAAGGACAACGACGTCTTTCTGCTGCCCGGCTCCGACTTCCAGATCCTCATTGGCGTCACCATCCTGGCCGCCATTGTGCGCCTGTTCCGCATCTACCAGCCCACCAGCGTCGTCTTTGACGAGGTCCAGTACGTCACGTCCCCCGCGGCGCGTTGTCTCGTCATCTCGCTGTTGTCTTTGGTCTTGTCCGAAGTGTCACTGACAGTTTTTTCCCCCCCCTTCTAGTTTCGGTGGTTTCGCGTCCAAGTACATCAAGGGCCGCTTCTTTATGGATGTTCACCCGCCCCTGGCCAAGATGCTCATTGCGCTGACCGGCTTCCTGGCCGGCTTCGACGGCGAGTTCGACTTCAAGGAGATTGGCAAGGACTACCTCGAGCCCGGCGTTCCCTACGTCGCAATGCGCCTGTTCCCTGCCATCTGCGGTATCCTCCTCGTGCCCACCATGTACCTGACCCTCAAGGCCGCCAACTGCCGCACCTCTACCGCTCTGATGGGTGCCGGCCTGATCATCTTTGGTATGCTTGCCCTCCCCACCGCTGTCCCTCTGTTTGGTCGAGTTTGTACTAACAATACGCAGAGAATGGCCTTCTGACCCAGGCTCGCCTGATCCTGCTCGACTCTCCCCTCATCGCCGCGACCGCTTTCACCGCCCTGGCCTTCACTGCCTTCTCCAACCAGCATGAGCAGGGCCCGTCCAAGGCCTTCACCCCCAGCTGGTGGTTCTGGCTCTTCACCACCGGCCTCGGCCTCGGCATTACTGTCAGCATCAAGTGGGTCGGCCTCTTCACCATTGCCTGGGTCGGCTCCCTGACGCTGATCCAGCTGTGGGTGCTGCTCGGTGACACCAAAACCGTCACTGTGCGCGTCTTCTCCAAGCACTTTATGGCCCGTGTCTTCTGCCTCATCATCGTCCCGGCCACCTTCTACATGGGCATGTTCGGCATCCACTTCTTGTGCCTGGTCAACCCCGGTGACGGCGACGGCTTCATGAGCTCCGAGTTCCAGGCCACCCTCAACTCCAAGGCCATGCAGGACGTCCCCGTCGACGTGCTGCTCGGCAGCTCCGTCACCATCCGCCACGTCAACACCCAGGGCGGCTACCTGCACTCCCACCCGCTTATGTACCCGACGGGCAGCAAGCAGCAGCAGGTCACCCTGTATCCCCACAAGGACCACAACAACGCGTGGCTGCTCGAGAACCAGACCCAGCCCCTCGATTCGGCCGGCGAGCCCATCAACGGCACCGATGCCTGGAACAAGCTCCCCGAGAGCGGCGAGCTGCCCTACATCGTCGACGGCACTGTCCTCCGCCTGTTCCACCCCTCGACGTCCCGCCGCCTGCACTCGCACGACGTGCGCCCGCCGGTCACCGAGGCCGATTGGCAGAACGAGGTCTCCGCCTACGGCTACGAGGGTTTTGACGGTGACGCCAACGACTACTTCCGTGTCGAGATTGTCAAGAAGCAGTCCGACGGCGCGCTCGCCAAGGAGCGTGTCCGCACCATCGAGACCAAGTTCCGCCTCGTCCACGTCATGACGGGCTGCGTCCTCTTCTCTCACAAGGTCAAGCTCCCCGACTGGGCCTCGGAACAGCAGGAGGTGACGTGCGCGCGTGGCGGCAGCCTTCCCAACAGCGTGTGGTACGTGGAATCGAACGAGCACCCCCTGCTGGGCGCCGACGCCGAAAAGGTCAACTACCGGCGCCCGGGCTTCTTCGGCAAGTTCCTCGAGCTCCAGCAGGTCATGTGGAAGACCAACGCCGGCCTGGTGGAGTCGCACGCCTACGACTCGCGCCCGAGCGCCTGGCCCATCCTGCGCCGTGGCATCAACTTCTGGGGCAAGCAGCACCGCCAGATCTACCTCATTGGCAACCCCTTTGTCTGGTGGTCCTCCACGGCCGCCATTGTCGTCTACGTCCTGTTCAAGGGCATCGCCGTCCTCCGCTGGCAGCGCAGCTGCGGCGACTACAACAACGCCACATTCAAGCGCTTCGATTACGAAATTGGCACGTCCGTCCTGGGCTGGGCGTTCCACTACTTCCCCTTCTACCTGATGGAGCGCCAGCTGTTCCTGCACCACTACTTCCCGGCCCTGTTCTTTGCCATTATGGCCTTCTGCCAGGTGTACGACTTTGCCACGGCCCGTTTCGGCGTCTTCCGCGTCAAGAGCAACCCGCTCATCGGCAAGGCCGGTGCCATGACCATCCTGGCCGTCGCGACCGTTGTCTTTACGTTGTATGCGCCCCTGGCCTACGGCAACACCTGGACCAAGTCGGAGTGCAAGCGTGTGCAGTTGTTCAGCAGCTGGGACTGGGATTGCAACACCTTCCTCGACTCGTACCAGGAATACGAGCAGTTTAACATGCCTTCGGTTGCGGCCGTGCCCACGTCCCCCGGCGCGGCTCCTGTTGACGAGCAGCCGGCCCCGATTGCTGACATTCCGATAGCGGGCGGCGAGCACGGCCAGATCCCCATTGAGCAGGCCCAGCAGCAGCAGCAGCAGCAGCAGCAGCAACAGCCCGAGGAGGACAAGCCGCAAGAGGTGCAGCAGGAGCAGCAGCAGTCGGTGGCGGAGCCGGAGCCGCTCCACACCGAGCCTCCGGCGCCACCCGTTGCGCTCGCCCAGGATGGAAACCAGAACCAGCGGATCCTGTCGCGCGACGAGCGCGTCGAGTACCGCGACCAGGACGGCAACATCCTGGACCCCGAGCAGGTCGAGGCGCTGCGCGGCAAAGTCGAGTTTAAGACGCGCTACGAGACGCGCACGCGCCTGGTCGACGAGGCCGGCAACGAGATTCTGGACGAGAGCGCGCCGGTGGCCCCGCCGCACCCGGACGTGGAGGGCGTGGACCAGTCGACCAAGCAGAGCCTGGTCGCCGACGACGCCCTGCCCCAGAGCGCCGACCCCAGCGTGGAGGGCGAGCGTGAGAAGGACCAGACCCGCGCCAAGCCGGCCAGCGAGGGCAGCGAGGCCACGCAGCGCCGCGAGGCGGAGGAGGCTGAGGCGGCGCCGGCGGCGGCGCCGGCCGCGGAGGAGTAATTTTGAAAGTGTCCTCCGTCTCATGTCTCATGTCTCGTCTTCTCACCTACTTTCTCACTCTTTCACTCTTTCACCGTCCCATTAATAATCCTTGAGAACAGTGTCGGGCTTTCTTCCTTACCACCCGACGCACGTCGCCCACGTATCGAAGCCTGAACCTACGTCACGGAACACTCCTCACTATCATTATTTATTTATTTTCTCATGTCATTTCTATGGTTTTGTTTCCTTTTTTTTCTTATGTATAACACCATGGATACGATGAAGCAGCGGAGACGGGACGAATGAGCGTCCTTGGCTTCAAAACTAAGCTGGGCGGAAACGCAACGGGGAAAAAGAGAAAAGGGAAAGGCAGCGTCGAAGAAAATGGGGCTCTAAAAGAAACGCAATACGCTCTGCTTTTATTCTTTAAAACTTGGTAGGTCGTATAGGGTTTTTGGAAATGTCTAATTTTTTTGCATTCTTGCATGGGCCCTATTCTGCTCCGTATCTCGGCTTCTTTCTGTTTGGGCTTCTCGTTTCCGCTAGAATCAGAAATAACAAGGCATAAACTATGTTCACGCTTCTTGTTCCATGAAAAGTGTCCGAACATCATAGGCTTTGTTTGTCATCCATTATATTGCCAATGTCTACTCCGTACGCCGGCTATTCAATCAGGTTTGGCGAGGCCGAACTGGGACACGGGCAGTTCACTGAGCCCTGCCTATATGAACACGCGAAGCAATTAAATTGTTGGTGGCATCCCAACGTTTCTTCCACTATTGCACAGCTTTTCTCAGCCTGACTCTGAATCCCGTTCGACAGCCTTACGTCGCGTTATGTTGGCCCACTGTGTCAGACCGGTGCCATATTCCAGCGAATGCCACCCACCAACAGTCTCACGTAACGCTGCTTACCAAAGCTTACGACCTAGCGTCGGTCGGAATGTGCATGAACGGGTTTTACCAATCCCGACGGCATTCCAACTCCTTAACAGAATGACAGCTCCCGTTCCCGTGTAACAGACTGCAGCAGCCAAAATCGTTCTTTCCTTTTTTGTTGGGTGTGCTTCTTATGTGTAAAGCTCTCCCATTTGCTCCTTTCTGGTTCGGGTTTCCCTTCACAATAGTCGTGTCCGATCTCCTTTTTACCTCTTGTTGATGTTCTTCCACTTCACTCGTCCCTGTATCCCGATCACACTGAGCAGTCCGGGATTGGCAGGTCCCGCACGTCACCGTCTTAGTGGTACAATACACCAATACACATCTGAAAAAGAAAAGAAAAAAAATTGCACGACACGGGCCCGGAGCCGAAGCAAAACATTGTGCGGCATTGGGTAGACTGCGTTGTGTGGCAGTGCCGATAGCTTCATACACCTTGATGGAGGTGTCGCTGGCCATGGCGGCCGACATTATCACGCCCCCCGGAATCCCGGCCCCGTACGGCCGTGCCTGTGCCAACTGCTCGCGGGCCAAGTGCCGCTGCATCTACCGCACCGACAGCTCTGACTGTGAACGCTGCCACCGACTGAAAAAGGACTGCCGGCCGTCGATTCCCGTGCGGCGCAAGGCGGCCTCGTCGGGGGCGGCCAAACGGTCGTCGTCGTCGACGCTGTCGCGCACGGCACAGCTGGAGCAGAAACTGGACGGGCTTGTGTCCCTGCTGACCGCACAGAACAGCAGCCGTGCCAAAGCGGCCGCCGACGCCAGTGCCCGGAGAGGCAGCGTCCAGAGCGTGGAAGGCAGCCAAGCCAGCCCCGAGAGCATCGCCTACAGCACCAGCAATCAGAACAGCGGCGCAGCTTCTGCGGAACCAAGGCGCGTCTACACGATACCTAGCGGCATTCCGTCCACAGAACCCGACGAGTTCCGGCCGTTGGGTGCCGGTGGACCAGACTTTGGCGCAGGCATCGTGCCACGACACCAAGGCAGGCCCCCCGCGCTGCAGGGCGGCCCGTCGTCGTCGACTGCACCAACGACAGAGACAAGGGCGTCGTCCGTTTCGATTCACGGCGGAGACGCGTCATATGAAGATCGGACATGCAGCACTCTCGCTGCCAAGTGTGCAGGGGGGCATTTGCCACGCACGCCCGAGTCCTCGGCGTCGTCAACAACGTCTACTCGCGGATACCAGCAGCAGAAGAGGACCCTACCAGAGGACAGCCGACAGGCACCACTATCACAACAACCACAACGGCCACAGCAGCAGCCACAGTCACAGGCAGAGGCACAGGCCCATCCGACAACGGGCTCACATACAATTGGGTGGAGCTTTGGCTGTTTTAACGACGCAGCGCGGCCACGCGAGATACCTACCAACGCAAAGGAGGACGACGGGAGCCTCCCGGCGCGAGACACCCTCAATCTCGACGCCTCCCTCGAGCCGACCGCCGCCGAGGCCGAACAGAGCCTTGTCACGTTCCGCACAACCATGCTTCCCTACTTCCCGTTTGTGCACCTGTCGCCCGATCTGACGGCAGCGCAGCTCCGGCGGACACGGCCTGTACTGTGGCTCGCCATCCTGTCGATTACGTGCCAGCGCGTGCCGACGCACACCCAACTCGGCCGCAGCACCCACCTGCGCGCGCTGTTTGCGCACCGCATCGTGTTTGAGAGCGACAAGAGCCTCGACTTGCTGCAGGGCCTGCTGGCGTTCATGACATGGGTGCACTATACATCGAAGCGCGACCGGCCCACGCTGTCGGTCATGTCGCAGCTGGCCGTGTCCCTGGTGTACGATCTGGGGCTGCACAAGCAAGCCAGCCCCTGCAAGTCGCTCATTGCGCGGCTGGTGCGCGACCACTACCAACAGTCTCTCGCGGCCGACGACCCGCCGCCCGTGCCGCCGCTGCTCGACGAGCGGCGCGCGGCACTATCATGCTACGTGCTGACCTCCAAGTTTTCGATTGCGCTCAAGCGATGTGAGCCGCTGCGCTGGACGCCGCGCCTGGAAGAGCACCTGTACGAGCTCGAGGCCCAAGCAGAGACGCCCCTCGACCACGTGCTGGTCACGCAGGTGCGTCTGCAGCGCGTCGCCGACCACATCCACATGGGCGAGTGGCAGACCAACGACCCAAACTACTTCCTGGACCCAACTAGCGATGCCCACCGGACGACGGGGCCTGACTGCGGCTTGCTGCCGGCGTATGTGGCGCGCGTGGTGCGGGCCAAGATCAACGAGATCCGCGAAAACATCCCGCCCGAGGCGCGGCACTACGAGGGCGTGCAGGATGCACTGCTGGCGTCGGAGATGATGGTGAGCGCGGGTGTCGTGCTACCCGTCGTGGCGCCGGTCGCGTCGATGGCGACCATTGCCGTTGTCTCGCTGCGCGCGCGCTCCAAACCGGCCACGCAGCCGTTGCAGGCCGACAAGGAAAAGGCGCCGAGTGCTGCGAGCGCTGCGAGCGCTGCAAGTGTGTTGCCGTCGACTGTCAACGTTGCCCGGGTAGCCGCGCTGGAGCGCTGTGTCGAGTCCGTGGCCGCCTTCTGGTCCTTCTTCCGCCAAATCACCAGTGGCTCGTACGCGGCCTTGCCGTTTGCCTTCTTTGCGCACTTTACGCACTGCGTCGTCTTGCTGTATGGATTGTCGGTGATGGACGAGCCCAACTGGGACCGCGCAGCCGTGCGCGACCGCCTGCACGTCCTCGACATGCTCGACGGGTTCATTGCCAAGCTGCGTGACGCGCCGCGTGTCGGTCCTTCCTCGACCGTTACAGGCATGGAGTCCTACGACGTCTTCAACCGAGCGGCCACGATGCTTACCTCGGTGCGCGAGCTGTGGGCGTCGGACATGGGCCGGCCGGACCACTTGGACAAGTCCAAGGCGGCCGCGGCAGCCGCGGCGGCAGCCGTCATTGTGGGTGACCGGCCGGACCAGGCCCGGGAGCAGGCACAGCAGACTCAGCAGGCCCAGCAGGCCCATGGTACCGCAGTACCAGCTGCGGTACCCGGCATGACAATGCCCGCCGCCGCCGCCGCCGCCGGGCCCATGACACTGGACGCGCCGCCGCCGCCGTCGGCCGACGGCACGGCGTGGCCGCTGTCGTCGGTTGCCGCGGCCCCAGCGCCTTCGGCCACCGACATGGCCATGGGCGAGCCCACGCAGGATCCGCTGTTGATGGCGTCCAACGATGTGTTCTTCACGGACCTGTCGGCCGCGATGGGCATTCCCGAGGACTACATGCTATGGGACCTCTTCGTGGACAGCATGCCGCAGGCGCAGTTGTAGGGCCGGAGCGTGATAATGAAAGCAGGAGGTGTACTATGTGAGGGGCGATGCTTACGGAATACAGGAGCATGGGACATGGAAACGGTATGGGCATGCAATGTCGGATAATGGACAAAAAGGGTAATAGCATAACAGAGCGAGCATACGGCATAGATGGGTCAAAAGTATCAAAATGGTCAGGCAACATAAACTCTGACAAAAAACAGTCCCCTTGTGGACGTCTCGGTGCAGCGCACAATCGTCTCTACACTCTGTAGAACTGGGGACCAGTCAGTTGCTAGCAGGGCTGTGTGTGACCTACGTTGAACTGTTGTTACGTTGTTAAATTGTGTCCTTTTGTATAAGCGACACATAGATGTTACAGCCCACGGCGGCTTTATACCTTTGAAAGGCATCTGCAGCGAATTGTGCCACAGCCCTTGTATTGGTGATGTTGCTGTGCGTGTTAGTGGCCAGCGTGTGTTTGGATTGTTCTGTATTTGTAGGTGGGTATTGGTCGCGGAATTAGACCGGGGTTCAGAGGTTCAGGGGAAGGAAAGTGGCAGACAACGATGGGAACGGTCGGAGTTCAGACCCCGAAGCAGGCCGCGCCCTTTGCAATACGGCAGGCGTACGATAAGGGCGTAGGAAGGAAGGACTGTGCACACCAAACCAACCATGGAAGGCACCACTGACACTATACGACGCATGGTCCCTGGAGCAATACAGTTCGAGTGCACTCTTGCTCTCTTCCTGATGGTGGGCTTCGTCTGTTGCCGTTCTTTCTTTTTTCGGATCGTCGCTCCTGCCATATAACAATAGGAAAGACAACGGGTATCGCATCCCAATCCCGTTGCCGATTTTGCTTAGAAATAAACTGGAAAGATCCAGGAAGAAAGTAACATCATTTTCGAGCAAAACGCAATAGAGCCTGATATAAGAGAGCGCGGCTTGTAGGCATCGTTTCGTGCGTCTTGTCCTGTTGTTGTTTACGCCGTCGCCTGTCTAAGCCACGATCCAACACCGACCGGAAAAAAGGAGACAATCCTACAGCCAAAACAAATTCAAAAACAAAAAGAAACGACCAAAGACGACCAAAGAGCAACTAGGTCAATCGGCGTTCAACACTATTTTACTCCTTTTCGACTGCATTTGATTTCTGCTTTTCCCACATCCCGTCATGACGGACACGGACGAGCGGACGGCCACGCCGACGCTGTCGACAGAGGGCGATGCTGTCGCTGCCACCACGGCGGACGAAAAGAAGGACCGCCATTTTGTGCCCGATGGACAGGAAGTACCCGCCGCACTCGCGCCGTCAACTACACAGGGCTCCAACCCCGAGCCCAAGTATGTCACCGGCGTCCAGCTGTGGCTGGTCGTCCTGGCCCTGTCGCTGGCCTTTTTTGTCATGATGCTCGACATGTCCATTGTGGCAACGGCGATCCCGCGCATCACCAACGAGTTCCACTCGCTCAACGACGTGGGCTGGTACGGTGCCGCCTACCAGTTGGCCTGGTGAGTCTCGCCTGTCCCCCGTATGCGTTTCTTCGTCTGGCTGTCTGTCGTCTAACAAAAGGGGCAGCGCTCCGATGCAGCCCCTGTCTGGCAAAATCTACACGTACTTTAAGACCAAGGTGAGCCCGATTTCGAGCCTGTTTACGAGCCCGTGCCCTAGTCCTCTTGTCACCTCTTTTGTCCGGTTCTGTTTGTTTCAGTTCTAACGCTGCGCAGTGGGCCTTCCTCATCTACTTTGGCATCTTTGAACTCGGCTCGCTCATCTGCGGCGTGGCCCAGTCGTCGACGATGCTGATCATCGGCCGGGCGGTGGCCGGCCTGGGCGGAGCCGGTCTTCAGAACGGCACCCTGACCATCTTGGCCGGCCTGGCGCCTTTGGCCCGCAGAGCGCGTAAGTCACGCTGTCCTTTTTGTCCTCTGCTGTCCCTGTTTTTGTACCCAACTAACGTTCATTTCCAGTCTTGACGGGCATCGTTCTAGGTGGTGAGTGTCCAAGTCCTTTTCTCTCTCCCTCGTCTCTCCTCTCATAACTAGTCCGTCGCCTCTCACACCTACACACACACATAGTCGCTCAGCTCGGTGTCGTGGCCGGACCGCTCCTTGGCGGCGTTTTCACGGAACTCGCCACATGGAGATGGTGCTTCTACGTCAACCTGCCAGTCGGCGCCGTCGTGGCCACGCTCATTCTTCTCATCCACATCCCAGAGCAGACGGAAAAGATGCCATGGCGCGGCCAGAGCAAGGAGACCATCAGGCGCCAGCTGCGCCTCGTGCTCTTGCACCGCATGGACCTCGTCGGCTTCTTCGTCTTCTCCGGCGCCACCATCCAGCTTCTTCTCGCTCTGCAGTGGGGCGGCACGGTCGCGCACCCCTGGAACTCGTCGGTCATTATCGGCCTGTTTGTTGGCGCCGGCGTCACGGCCCTCGTCTGGGGCGCCTGGAACTACCGGATGAGCCACTGGCTGGGCTCCGACGACATCCCCAACCGCAACGGCGAGGCCGCCCTCATCCCCACGCCCATTGCGCGCGAGCGCACCGTCTACTCGGGCTCCTTGGCGAGCTTCGCGCTGATGGGCACCATCATTATGAACGCCTTCTTTATTGCCATCTACTTTCAGACCGCCCGCGACGCTTCGCCGGTCACGAGCGGCGTCAACATCCTGCCCAGCATCCTGAGCCAGCTGTTCTTCGCCGTCGCCTCCAGCACCGCCATCAGCAAAATGGGCTACTACCTGCCCTGGGCCTTCGCCGGCACCACCATCAACAGCATCGGCACGGGGCTGCTGTCGACCCTCTCGCCCACCACGCCGACAGGCCACTGGATCGGGTTCCAGGTCTTGGCCGGCGGCGGCCGCGGCATGGTGTTTCAGGCACCAATTCTCGCCATCCAGCACGCCGTCCAGCCCAACCAGATTAGCGTCGCCGTCGGCCTCTTGAGTTTCGGCCAAAACGTCGGCGGCGCCGTCCTCCTGACCATCGCCAACACCGTCTTTGACAACAGCCTCCAGTCACAGCTGCAGCAGCACGCGCCTGGCGTCGACCCGGAGGTCGTTATTGCCGCCGGTGCCACGGCTTTCCGGTCCGTCGTGCCCGCCGCCAGCGTCCCCGGTGTCATCCTGGCCTACGCCAACAGCGTCAACCGCGTCTTTTACTTTGCCACTGCGCTGTCTGTGCTGGCCTTTTTCGCGACGTTCGGTCTCGGCTGGAAAGACATTCGGGTCAAAAAGGGCCCGTCGACAACAGCCCGCGCCGAGGCATCAGCAGCCAAGACGGATGTCGAGGTGGCTGCAAAGGCGGCCGACGACAACGTTGAGGGCTTGGCCGAGGACGCGTCCGAGGCGGCGCGAGACATCAAGGGCGAAGACAGGGTGTGACGAGAGGGTGTGATGCTGTGTAGTAGCCAAAAGTTGACTGAATGTTTAATTCTTTTTTTGTTATCATAGCCCCTCGCTATTTTGTGTTTGTTCCCATATACAGTTGATTACTATTCAATGCAACCGGCACATGATAGGAGCGTTTCTTGCTTTGCTTGACCATTGGTAGCTGTCTCATTGAACATTAATTCTATTTCTGAGCATTTTAAGGATTCTACTTTTAAAAAAGTTAAAAACTGTAATCCATATCACGGCATTTATTCACCGACGAATTCAAAGCTTATACGTTTGCTTTGAGTTTATTTTTGTATGCACACTTGTCGTCTATTTTTACCGTCCAAGGCAGCAGGGTCGCATCTGTCAGAACAGTCTTGAAGGGAGCAGTCGCGGCTCGTCGCTGTTGAATTCATCGTCAACGTAATCGTAATTCGTGAATGGAAGAATGCGATAGGCTCGGCCATGTGCTTGGCAGGATTGCTAAGAAAAGACGTCGTTACCAGGCAGCTACCAATCGACTGGGCTCTGAATATGTCATTCTCCGTACTGTTGAAGTACGAAAGACGAAAGCGAAAAGGTAGGAAGTAAACTGCTGTCGTATTCCACAGCACATGGAGACTTGTGATGATCGACGTCGTGCGTCGGAACCAAACGAACAGCAAAGGGCTTCGACGAACCAGACCGAGGACGAGAAGAAAAAGAAAGTAAAAAAGGAACAGAAAGAGCATCTCCAAGCACCATCGCTTAACACAAGCGAACGGGCGAATAGGAGCCATGCACTACTGGTTAACTACTGGTTAGCGGCCGTTGCTGATGGATTTCGGGCGCTGATCCTGGTCGCCATGGAGGAATGGCAGTCTCCCTTTCCAGGCACCCTCTGCCAAGTCGTCTCGAGACGGTGTGGGGACGAAGATGGATGGCCCCAGCCCCAGAACCAGAAGAAAGAGAGGGCGTCCAATCTGGGACGATTACTCGAAACGGGCAACACAGGCGAGCACCTGCATAAAGTGGAGAGCGCGCGGACGAGGGTGAGGGTGGCAGAAGGATACAGCGTGAACGTGTGAAAGACGACGGTCCCGGCGGCGATCGAGGCAAACGACGAGCAATGTGTGATCCCTGCTGAAGCTGCTTCGTGTGGCCATGGCTTCATCTACCCTTTCCCATATTGACTACTGTGTAGGCACACCGCATCGGGTATTCTCAATGGCCGTCCTCCTCCCCATGTCCTACTTTCCCCCCGCTCTGGTTAGTCTCTGTCTCCATCCTTCGTTCCTCATCCTTCGTTTTGCAATGGCATTGGTCTTTCACCCGTCTCCGTCCCCGCCTCGCATTCGCTTGTCGTTGGTAAGAAGGAAACCGATAACGACGACGAAGACGACGAAGACGACGACAAGCATAGCCTTGGCGGTTATCACAGGGCCGTTGCTTGCAACAGCAATAAACGAATAGCCAGTCTGAACCGCATCCTTGGCTGTCGGCGGCGGCCTGCTGGGCTTATCCACCATCCGTCCCATTTTAGCATCACGGACAGGCCATCGTTGGTTTGATAGCATCACCATCCAGTCTATTGTCCGTGTTTGCAACATCTCCAAGTTCTCCCATACCGGGACGGTCGGCCCAATTCATGACTCCATGTTTCCGGCGATCTGTCGCCCGTTTCTGTCGAAGCTTTGCTTTCTCGTGACTCCTTTTGCAGTTTGGAAATCCCTCCGAGATTTGTTTATGTCCGTCTCGGGTGTCCTTTTCGTGATACATACTCTTTCCATCTAGCTCAACTGCTCAACTGCAGCCTTACACGGCCAGCAAACCGGCCATTTTATGCCACGCTTTCCGCAGCTGTACGTTCGAGGGGCTTTCTTTTATTTCTTCCCACACAAGCGTCAGCTGGGATGTAGCTGTATGCACTGGTGCCACCGTGGCGCTGGGGAATGTATTATTGTTATTTTTCTCGTCCTCTACATTTGTTCACTTCTTCTTTTCTCACCATCTGTCTTTTACGTATTGTCCTCATCCGAATATAAATACGGCAGGCCCCCCAGACCGGGCTGCATCGATTTGTCTCACAGTATTGCAGCACAAACAAGCCTCATACCTTCTTGATTTGTTTAGACCTGTTGCTCGTTTCTGACCCCTATTCATTCTTCTACTCTGACCGTTGCACCTTCCTCCTTGGTACTCTACTCCCTCCCTTTAATATATATCGTCTTCACCATCCCCCCTTTTCTCCTATTCTCTATTTCTCCTTTTCTCCGCGAGACGTGCATCTGCATCTGAACCCGCATTGCATCACCAAAACACGTCTCAGTCACAAGTGCACGACATACCTCGTACGTGCAACGTCTCTTCAGAGGCCCTGCTGTATTGCGCCGACTTTCGCCTCATCCACCACCCATGGGCTCCGTACCAGTCGCCTTGCCGGCCAAGGCTGTTGTCCTGCCGCCACCGCTGCCGGGCTACCGCACAGTCGCCGACGAAAAGACGGACCATGCCGAGACCCTCAAGCGTGTCCAAGACCATGCCTTTACAGACTGGCCCAATGAGGCGGGGGTATGTGCTCTTTCGGTCATTCTTGCCACGACAATGTCGTCGCTGGTTCACAGCTAACAGTGCAGTTTGACGGCCTCCGCGAAGAACGAGGCCCCATCGAGATCCCCGTCGTCGGGACCATTCCCGCCTATGCCGCCGGCAGTTTGTACCGCACCGGACCGGGCATGATGAAGGTCGAGGGCACACCCAAAGGCACGCACTACATCAGCCACTGGTTCGACGGCCTGGCCCACACCCATCGGTTTGAGATTGTGCCTGACGAGGCAGCGCTGGGGACGGTGTCCGTCTTCTACTCCTCCCGGCGCCAGTCCGAGGCCCGCATGCGTCTCATGCAGGAACAGGGCGCTGCCAAAATATTCACGTTCGCCCAGCGCGCCGACCCCTGCATCGGCCTGCTCGGCAAGTTCATGTCGACCTTCAAGGCTGCTGCTCTGCGCCGCAACACGCGCTTGAAGGACTCGGAGAATGTCAATGTCGTCGTGCACCTCGACGTGCCGGGCCTGCAGGCCGACCGTCCTGCTGCGGCCAAGGCTGCCGACCGGCGGTCGATGGCTGTCGTGCCGTCGGCCGAAGCCGCCAAGGAGGGCGACGTCCAGCGTCTCGCCGCACCACCCGCCGCGGGCCACCGCAGTGCCAACCTGCCCGACTCCGTCTGGATCACCACCGACGCCAACATCATGCGCCGCGTCGACCCGGAGACGCTCGAGCCCATTGGCGTCGCCAACCAGGAGACGCTGCACCCGGACCTCAAGGGCGCCATGTCGTCCGCGCACGCCCAGCGCGACCCCGTCACGGGCGACTTTTTCAACTTCAATCTGGACCTGGGCCCCACGCCCACCTACCGCGTCTTTCGCGTGTCCCAGGCCACCGGCAAGACAGACATTCTCGCGACCATCCGCTGCCGCCACGGGCCTGCCAGTGCGCCTGGGTCGACGTCGGTGGGTGGCAGCGGCAGCAAAAGCTACGCCAGCGGCGCCAGACCGGCGTACATCCACTCCTTCTTCTTGACCGCCCACTACGTCGTGCTCTGCATCCCCTGCACGCATGTCGCGCAGAACGGCCTCAAGATACTGTGGGAGCGCAACATCCTGGACGGTCTGGAGCCGTTTAGCGCGGCCAACAAGACACGCTGGATCGTGGTCGACCGGCGGCCCGACGGCAAGGGCGTGGTGGCCGAGTTTGACAGTCCGGCCGGCTTCTTCTTCCACAGCGTGAACACCTTTGAGGACGAGGAGACCAACTGCGTCGTGTGCGACGTGATTGACTATCCCACGTCCGACATCATCCACGCCCTCTACTACGACGTGCTTCTCAACCGCAACAATGCCGCTGCCGACTTTTACAACGACCCCGTCCGTGTTGCCAGCATTATCCCCTCGCTGTCACGGTATCGTCTAAAGTTGCCGTCGTCGTCGTCATTGTCGTCGTCGTCGTCGGGCAGTACTGCCGTCTCCGTAACAGCCGCCTCACAAGACTGGGCCATTGCCGGCCCGCATGCTGGCGAGCTCCCCACCATCAACCCAAAGTATGCCACGCGCCGCCACCGGTTTGTCTACAGCGTCGCCAGCCAGGGCCGCTCGACTCTGGCGGACGCGCTGTGCAAGACGGACACCGAGACCCGGGCGGCGCTGCTGTGGCACGCGCCTCTGGGCCACACGCCGGGCGAGGCTGTCTTTATCGGCAACCCGGATGCCACAGACGACGGCACTGGCGAGGACGACGGCGTCCTGCTGTCGGTGGTGCTGGACGGCACGGCCAGCAAGAGCTACCTGCTGTGTCTGGATGCGCGCACCATGACCGAGACGGGGCGCGCCGAGGTGGGCTTTGCCATTGGCTTTGGCTTTCACGGCGCGCACGCCAAGGCATGAAGGGATGACAAGAGAGCGACGGGGCGGCGAAGCGAGATGACGAGAGAGAAATGTGACGGAGGTAACAATGTATTATGAGTCTACGATTGACGTTAGGAGATACCAAATTGAGCGTGGCGAAGTTGTATACAGTAGTGCCTTGGAGGCAACACACAGATGGTAATGGAAACATGCGTTGTATTCTATTGTACATAATGGGCTGCTTCGACAGGGGAAAGCACATGGAAAACAATAGCTTTCTACGGAGTAACCCCACACATTTTGCAAGTCACTTCCATCCAGCCTCCACGCTCCTCATCGACACGTGTTCGACGCTGGATGCCTGATGCCTTTCTGAAGACCACCAGGCCACCACCACAAGGAGGTGGCCCATACCGCGAGACACGTCTCACACGCCGCATGCTACTTGCAGTAGGTGACGGCACTCCCCCTCCCCCTCCACCTCCCCTTCTCTCCTCATAAAACTCGGCCTTTGGCTTGGAGGGCCATTTGGATGCCGCGGCCTGGGCACCAGAATCCAGGCTCCAGGGACGTGGTCGATCGCCGACCGTACCACATCCCTGGAGCCTGGATTCTGGACCCGTTTCATGAGCCGCATAAAGGAATATAATATCGTTCTGCTCGTCCGGACGAGAGCGACCACGGACGTGGCGGCGCCGCTTTGCCTGCGAAGAGATGCAAGTAGTAACGAAAGTAGTAAAAGGAAAGATATGATGAGAGAGAGATGCGACGGTCTGACATCTTGACCTTTTGCGTCTCCAATCTATAGCTCTGATCAAAAAGTCGCCACCGTCACATTGTCCGGTCATCGATACCAACCGTGACATCTCTCTCTCATCATATCTTTCTTCGCGGCGGGCGGTTCCATAACGGTGGAAACCCGAGACTACTTTGTCAGCTTCGAGAGCCCGTTTTGGCAACACAGACGAGACAGACTGTTTTACCTCTGGGCAAGGAACCGACCTCTGCCGTGTACTTCAAAGTGACGCAAGCCCATCCGACGGGGGTCGGAAACAGAAGACCGGCCCGCCGGCCCCCATCGGATCGGCGGGACACTGGGGACTGCATACTTTTGGGTCTATGGATGTTGGAGTCGGTCAGCCACGTATTTGTGCACGATGGGAAGCGATTGCGAGGCGTCGATACAAAATGCAAAAGACGAAAAGACGTTCGCTGTCAACAACGCTTACCATACAGCCCACGGGATCCATCTGTGATGGATGGGTAGGCGCGTCCCAAAGCGGCGAGGCTGGAACCATAGAGTGGAAACCGTCTGTGCGCGTTCGTCAAACGACGACACAAGTCCATTCAGCCTACGAGAGACGGAAGAAACAAGTTCGTGTCAGTGTTGACCATCACTTTGGAAGGTTGAATGCGGCCAAGAAGAAATATGAGAGCCGTGAGGGTGACCAGTCGAGGCGTTGGATATCAGGTAGAGGAGATGAAGAGAAGAAGAGAAGAAGAGAAGAAGAGAAGAAGAGAAGGAAGAAAAGTGAAGAGAAAAGTGTGAAAATGTTTTTAAAGACTGAATCAAAGGTCAGGAAAAGTAGAGGGGCAACACGTGGATGAGCCAACGACTGTTGTTTTCCTTTTCTAGGCTCACCAGGCGACTGGTGGCTGGAGCACAGTGGCACAGTACATCATGGCATTGTGTGAGCTATGGTTGCAGTTACTGACAGCTGCACACTGGGCTTCCATTGATGGCTTTCATTCAACGCAGACGCTACACAACATTCCGTCAATCGGCGATGCGATGCCACCTCATTGACTGTCGACCTTCATGCCAGCATGCCACTCTATTGAGGCAGGGGTGTGTCTTGTGCAAAGGGAGTGTATATGATCGTGTGTATTCGTATGCATTAATATATAGGAGATATGTACAGGCGAGGGCATTGCACAGTATGAGAACTGGCACTTGCACCCGAAAACGTCAAAACAAAGACAGACACCAATCGCTCCTTCCTCGTCGAGATCCAACTGTTCTGCGTTGTGGTATTAGTGATCTGGCCCTCCTACGTCCTTCCCTATCTGGGTCTTGGCAGCGCGCTCTTTCCTAGTTCATGGCCAGTGTGGCCTGGTGGCCCCTTCCCTTTGTGGTGCAGCTGTCCTCCACCCGCGTTCCTCGGTGTGACTACCCCCCTCTTTCCTTAGGCCTCTGCCGCTGACCGCCGCTCAACGTGGTCGACGGTCTGCTCCTTGTAGTTGCGCAGGACGTCGACGTTCATGCTGCGCGAGAAGACGTCGACCTCGGTGGTGGCAAACTTGCGGGCGCTGACGCCCTGCTCAAAGAGCACGTCGAGCTCGGCAAACGAGCGGCCCGTCGGCTCGGGCACGCGGAAGTAGGTGTAGATGATGCAGAGGAAGCAGATGCCCGCCCAGAAGAAGCCGGCATAGTTTTGCCAGTTCCACGCGCTCGGGTTGAGCATGTAGGGCGTCAGGACGCCGCAGACGATGCCGACGATGATGTAGAGGACGCGGCCGAGGACGACCGTCTTGATCTGCAGGCGGCGGGTGGAGATCTCGGCGACGAGCGAATAGCAGACGGTGCCGACGGACAGCTGGTAGCAGAGCGCCCAGCCGAGCATGATGCTGCCGGTGGCGATGGAGCTCTGGTCGCGGTGGGACGCGGGCACCAGACCCAGGAAGCCCATGATGAACAGCATCGTGCAGAGGCCGCAGAGACCGTAGAGGTAGAGCGAGCGGCGGCCGATGCCCCAGGACATCAAGAACCAGGCGCCAATGACGCCCACGACATTGAACGCGTACTGGCCGAGCGCGAAGCCGTAGGCCTTGCGCGACGTCAGGCCGGCCTGCTCGAGGAAGTACGTCGAGTAGTTGGAAAAGGAATTGCCGCTCAGGTTCTGGATGGCCCACACCATGCAGACGATCTCGGTGCGGCGCAGGTCGTGGCCGCGGAAGCAGTCGAGGTAGCTGGCGCCCTTGGTCGCGTTGGCCTCGAGCGCCGTCGTGTGCACCATCATGGCAATCGTGGCGTCCGGGTCGAAGCGCTCGGCGTCCGGGTTGGTCGGGTCGCCGCCCGCCTGGCGGCCCTCGCGCACCTTTTTGGACGTCAGCCGCAGCAGCGCCCGCTTGGCGTCCTCGATGCGGCCGCGGCGCACCAGCCACCAGGGCGACTCGGGCGCGAAGAAGATGGCCACCATCAGCGGCACCGGCCACATCCACTGCAGCGCGTACGGCAGGCGGTACGCCCACTGGTCCGTGCGGTCCAGCACGCCCATGATCACGCCGATGCCAATCAGCTGCCCGATGCCCCAGCACGCGTTGACGTACGTCGTCAAGTGGCCGCGCAGCGCCACGGGGCACACTTCGGACGCATACGTAATGGTCAGCGTCTGGAACACGCCCCAGGGGATGCCGCACAGGATCTCGGCCACGAGCAGCGCCGCCGTGTTCTTGGCCGTGAAGAAGATGGAGATCCAGGCCGTGACGAGCACGAGACAGCCAATGACCGTGTAGCGGTAGCCAAAGCGCTCCGAGATCCAGCCGTTGAGCAGCAGGCCGATCAGCTCGCCGCAGTTGGCGCCGTTGCTCAGGCCGCTCTGCCAGGCCGCCGAGACCTGGTACGTGCCGTCGGGCAGCAGCGTGCCGTACTTGCGGTTGAACTGGTCGAACGCGTAAAAGTTGTTGATCAGGCACACGTCGTAGCCCTCCATGATAATGCACGTGCTGATGAGCATGCTCCACGCAATCGCCTTGGGGTACAGCCGGATACCCTCGAGCAGGGTCATCTTTTGCTCCGTCTCGGCCGCCGACTTGGCGAACCCGACGACCGTGTTGGCCGCCTTGGTGTCCGCCATGTCCTGGTCCTCCTGCGCCAAGCCGTCAGCGGCCATGATGTCTTCCTTGGTGGGCTCGGCCGGGGCGGCGGCCGACGCGCCGGTCTCCGGTATGTGGGACATGTTTGTGGATGGTCGACTGCGTGGGACACGGAATAGTAGAGTGGAGGAAAATGGGGAGACGAGAAGACAAAGACGCGGATTGCGCGTAAAAGCACACAAAGGAAGTACCGTCCAAGGAGGAGCTGCGTGAGACAGATTGTGAAGATCGCGGTAGAGAACGGAGGAGCAAGTGTGGGCACCGATAAGCTCAAGTATGAATTAAATATCACCACGTCCAAGGCCTCGACAACACGGTCACTCCGTTACGGAGACAAAAAAGAAAACGATTCTGGGTGGTGTAGCGTAAGACAACATGCACCCGCTGTTTACTCCGCACTTTGGACCTCCCCGTACGTTGAGGAGATGGAGTAACGATCGTCGCTTGTCCTTGTGACCGCACCTGGGGTTTGGTCCCTCCAGTGCCACCCTGTGTTCCTTGTGCGATGTCCCGCAAGTCAAAATGTGACAATGCGGAGAAACCAAAGATTGAGGAGACCAAAAGCAACCAAGACTAGAGAAGAACGAGGCCGGGAAGGGAGAGGGTCGGGGCAGGGGAGGGTGTAGCCGCAAGGCGAAACAGTTCGCTTGGTGTCTGAATGGGCTTGCAAAGAAAGATGGGATGGAGATGTTTGAAAAAGGTGAAAACTCGCGAGAATTGCCTCGTCCTTTGACAACGACGGGGGCGTGCGATTTGGTCTCCAGTTTTTGCGAGTTTCCCCTTAATTTTTTTTTTTTCCATTCTTTTTGTCGTTCTTTTTTCGTTTTCATTTCGTCTCCATTTTTTTCTTGCCATTGTTCATCGCGAAGAAGCCCCCGGTGGCGTTAGACAATCGAAAAAACTGGAAACAGAACGGTCACAACTAACCCGTTGAGAAGTCACAACAAATGCCGCGAACGCACTTAGAACCCGGCAAATAGCAGATCAAGTACATCGTTAAGTCAGCCAAGGTACAGCGACGCCAAGGCTGCTCTGTTGCCACTAGGCGCAAAAAGGCAGTCCGCTCCTTCACAGAGCATGGCACCCAACACAGAGAAAGTGAAAAAATTGACCAAAGCCGAAGCAAGATCCAGCAAGGGAAATGCCCGAACCTTCGCCGGTGCACCATCTATCCTCGACCCGCCAACAAAACATTTGCATCGCCGTGATTGGCCGGTGCACTGCCTAGCGGCATCAAACTGGCGCAAGCAACGGCATCTGAAGGTGGGCAGTGTCGAGTGGACGACGATAGTCGCCATGGTTGGCGACTATAGGGAGCGAGCCAGACGACGTCTCGGCTGTGATGCTAAGCGACTTGGTAAGGCGTGGAGACAACACAAAAGCAAAGTAGTGATGAGAGAGTCAAAGGGATGCGGTCGTAAGGAGACTGGCAATCGAAGCTGGCAATGCTGCTTCATTTGCGTCGATATCGTACATGCGTCCAAACGCCCTCTCGCAACAGAGGCAGAATGAAAGTACGAGCGCCAGGGGTGCCCGCAGTGCCAAAGAGAGTCCATCACTGCCTCGGGGGTGTCTCTTCCCGACTCATGATGGTGTCACTGGCAAACGTGACGGGGAATGGCTGACTTTGTTGTGTTGGTCCTACGTCTACTTAACCTCGTCGTCCATGACAAGGCGCGGCTACCGAGGCGTGACGCGCCTTCCAAGGCTCTGTTCGCTCCTGCCTTCTTGACTCCTCGCCGTGCTGCAGTATAAATACTCCATAAACGGCAGGCGCCTCTTCCTCACGGCGCGTTGAGCATGGTCGCCAACACCCCAGACTCGCCTCAACGACATGGTACGGCCGGAGATCTAGCAATGCCTGTGAAACCTGTGGACGCACGAGTCCTGATGTCTGCGCGACAAGATGCCAGCGCGGCATGGTCAAGAGTCACAACCGCCGCCCCCCGACGATACTCTCGACAACGAGGTGCTTGAGGGGAAGTCGAGAGGGCGAGCTGCACCTGCCCTCGTCGTTCACATCGAGAGCTTCCTACGCTAGTGTATCTCTGGTTGTCGTACCTGCCGCACTAAGCAAAATCGCCCTGACAAGCAGTTACGACCCAGCATAGGCAGCTCGTCCCTTCCTCTCTCGTTCTAGGTCATCATGTTCCTTCTACCAGCATCGCAGCTCGTCATGACTCCCGGACGTGAACGAAGTCACTGCAGTTAGACGAGGAAGGCGCACTGGAGCCCCTGGCCCCCACCCTGCATCTCTGGCCCGACTCCACCCACATTGCTCCTCTTCTCTTGTCCGTCCTCTCTTCGTTTGCCATGCATCACCTTTCCATGCTCTCACAAACTTTCTTTTCCTCTTACGTATTCCCTGTCCTCTGCTTCCCCAGACACACCCGGATCTTTGCGTTCTCGTTTGTGTCCCGGAGACCCAATCGGAGACTGCCTGTTTGACTTTTTCTTTCTGCTCTACTCCATACTTCGTGTCGTCCCCATATCAGCCGTTTGCCCACAAATCAAAAATCCCTGCAATTCGACAATTTGCTCGATTTCCAACATCGGCGTCACCATCTCAGTCTGACGGGCCTCCATCCCTCCCTCTCCCTTCATGTTGATCTCAGTTATGATTCACTCACCTTGACACCCTATGCCACATAGCCAGCATAGTGCATCATCGGTGCGTTGTCACGCTGTTGAACTCATTGTCTTTTTTTTTTTTTTTTGTCACAATTTCTCCCTTTCTGCACTCCATAAATCTCGCCGTATTCCGTTGCCGGTTCTCTGTATCTCCCGTTTCTTCTCGTCTGCTTGAACATTCTTTCAGACTTTTGCTTCTCAGCATGTTCTCCATTCGTTAGTGTCCCATATGCCACCCATGTCCTCTTCTTTTCTTTGGGCATAGAGCATCTTTTCCATGAAAAGCTTCCATGCGTTCTTTGCTAGCTCTGGCGCTCGAACCAAGCCTAGCCTCCCGCGTCTAGACGCTCTTCGCGGATTTTTTCCCTTTTAATCTCGCTGTTCCGCCCTCTCGCCTGTCGGCATTTTTTTACTGTTCTGGCTTTTATTCTGCAACATTTCCTCTTCCACCCAAATCTCGCCTCTTTGCCAACCCTCGACGGTACTTTTCTACACTACGCACACGGCCTCCCATGCGTGAGCGATGCCTTCGCATACCTCTCTGCCGTCCGAGCCTCCTCTGACAGCACCCTTTGGTTGGTAAGTTTCTCCAGCATCGTCACAGCCTGTCTTCCCCACATCAGCTTTGGCTCCCTGTTCCATTTTTTGACGCCATCGACATCGACTGCACTCCAAAATGCTCTATCGAACGCTCTACTGACTTTCCACAGCGAGTCCTGTCGTGAACAGCATCTCAAGTGTAAGCAAATACGTCACTTTCCGGAGGCCCTCACTGCCTTCTTAAGCAATTTGCACCCGTGCTCTCTGTTGCCATCCTGTCCGATTTTTTGCTTGCCTCGCCAGTCTCGTTCATACCAAGACTTTTTGGTCTCATTCTCCCACCCAGCCCAACCCCACACCAACAGAGGCCGACTGTGCCTGACTCTCTTTCCCTTCGTCATCCTTCTCCTTACGTGACCTTCACTCCCCACATAACCAAGCGGGCGACTCTCGCTAGATCGGTTCCTTTTCACATCCCTGCTCACCGTCAAATACACACGGGATAAACTCCTTCTTCCAACCAAATATCTCTGGATTTGTCCGATGTCAGACATGGTTCTTCGATTACTGACGAGTTCATGCAGGTGATCGTGCTCTCCCTGCTTGTGGTCGGTGCGCAGCGACGTCAAAGGCCTGCACGCGAGGATACAAGTTTCGAGTCAAATCAGGTACGCACCAATGACCAGTTAACCAGGATACTCGAATTGTTCCACGAGGCTGACAAGAGTCGTCTTTCTCGTCCTAAACAGGTCCATTCACCCGACGGCAGCAATGGGTCAGGATACCAAGACGTCGTAAGCACTCTATGAGAGGAACGCCCTCCCAGTACGAAGTAGAAACTAACAAATTTATCCACCCATTATACAGTCGACTTTGTTGCAGATGGCGTCACTGGTGATGCCGAGTTCTACAGTGATGAGGACGACGACGAGGAGCCGCCTGCTCCTCCTCCTCCACCCCCTCGGCGGCCGCAAGCCACTCGACTTGCCGCATGTACGCAAAATCCCTCACCGCCAGATGAATCACACAGCCCAGACTCTCCGGAAGAGGTGTCTCGCAGCACAACACGCTCAACGACCGCCTCGTCACGGCCTCGTGTTCCCCTGACGAATGGACGTAGACAATCGCTGCGGCGGGTGAGAGCAGCTTCTCAACAAGCTGCTCGGCAGACTTCACAACAGACTTCACAGCAGAGTCGACAGCCGCCACCCCCTCTCTCGTTTGGCCCTACCGAGACGTACACTTTTGTTTCTGCACGGCAAGAAATGCGTAGCACGGCACAATCCACTTCGCAGGCCTCTCCACAACACGTGTCACATCATCACCGTCGATCCGCGAGTGGTGGCTCACCGCGGTCTCCAACGGACCGGTTTATTGTACATGACGAGTTAGTGCCACCGATCCACCCGCCTCTGACGTTGACAGCCGCGGACCGTGCGGCCCATCCCAACATATACACGGAGAAGTCTGTATTTCCGCTGCAAGACAAGCAGCAGGCTATTCTTCTTCGCCATTTCGTACAGAATCTAGCGATCTGGGTATGTTTACGGGTCAGAAAACAGCGTTTGTCTTTCTGTCACCTCTGAGACAGCCACTGACTCATTCTGTAGCTCGACCTTTGTGAGCCGGCGCAGCAGTTCGGCACCATTGTTCCCAAGCGTGCAGCGACGTGCACCGTTCTCTTGAACGCCATCCTGGCCCTCTCTTCCAAGCACCTTGCCCATATCGGCAACTTTGACCGCTATGCCTCGGACCGCTACCACCAGGAATGCCTCAATGTCCTCATTCCTATGCTAAGCCACGAGGACACAGCTGCCGACGAGAATCTGTTTGCTGCCACAATCATCCTTCGCGTTTGGGAGGAGATGGAGTGTATGTCAACCCTCCGTTGGTGTGGACCGTAGTCTCTGTACCGTCCCGTTTGCCGTTCTTCTACTAACCTAACAAGTCAAACATTCGGGTTTTGACTCTCAGGGCTATCTCCTAGGCATCCACGCATTCGTCCACGGGCATGGCCACAAAATAGTGCCGAACACGCTCAGTGCCGCTGCTTTCTGGGTCGGGCTGCGCCAGGAGATTTATACTGCGACCATCAACCAGCAGCCCGTCAAGGCACCGCTCGTGCTGTCTCTCGCCGACAATGCACGTGGCCTTAGTCCAGCTGAAGATCATGACTGGGCCAACCGTGCGGTGATCCACTGCGTCGATGTGCTCAACTTTTGCTTCGGTGAGACGGTATCCACCTTGTCGCCGCGATTTTCCTGGGATGAGCTGAGCAGCTGGAACAAGCAGTGGTCGGCGCGGCTGCCGGACTCGTTTACACCCACCTACTTCAAGGAGCGCGGGCCTGGCGATGCATTCCCCGAGATCTGGCACCACTCGAGCTGGCACGTCACGGGCCTGCAGCACCACATCCTGGCCGAGCTGTTCCTCGTCAGCTTCGACCCCAAGATTCCGCGTATCGGCCGTCAGCGCCTCGAGGCCGCCAAAAACGTTAACGACCGTGTTTGCGCGCTGGTGCGTGAAGTCTGTGGCATCGGTCTAGGCAACCAATGGACGCCACCCGGCATGTTCACAGCTTGCATGGCCATCACAGCCTGTACGTTCTTACCTTCTCCTCTCTGTGACGCTACATCCGTCCTACTCACGGCTAACCTTGCTGATATGTTTTTAGTCGGCGACCGCTTCCATGACCGAAGAGACCAAGAAGCCCTTCTCGACATGCTGCGACGCACAGAAAAAGACCATGCCCGGCCGACTGAAGTTGTCCAACAGCAGCTGATGCGGTCGTGGGGCTGGGACACGAGTCAAATGACCTGAACCAGCGGTGAAACACAAACTATAGTAACAAAAACAAAGGAAGAAAACACGGCAATAGATTATGGAATGGCGAGCACGAGACACAATTGGCACGGGGCGTTAAGGGGCTTCTGCATTCTGTCGTTTCGATGGGATAATAGACACGGGATAAAGCATGGGTCAGTGGTAACTGAAAAGGAAACGGAAACGGGATACGACATAGAAATGGACTTTGACATATGGAGACCACAAAATGGAGTCGATTTTGTGGTCTCGTGGTGCTGGCGTTTTGTGGCTCTTACGAAGTATTTTCTTATTCTTTTATTCTTTAATGGGACTCCAACGGACCCGCTGTCGCGGATTTTTACTTCTTTCCATGAGAGGATCAAGTCCCAGTGGACATTTTTGCAGTACGCTGTCCGCTTCCAGATGCAAATTCCGAGCCCGGCCTGCTAGTGACACCAAAGGATGCCCCGAGCGGAAGCTAACTTTGCACTATCGTAAAAGGACGCCAGCCCACCAGAAAAGCAGGTGAAATCCGCCGCGTGTCAAGACCGATCACCAAGTTGCACGTCATCACCGAGGGCAAAAACATGCACGCCCCCCCCCTCTCTTCCCTGTCATCTCCCGCGGTCTCTTTAGCGTCTTTTTCGAAGGGGCTTCTACCAAATTCACTTTTGCGTTACAGATGACCATAATGAGAAGAAAAGAAAATAACATAAACGAAAAAACGTGCCTTAGCTTTGGCAAAGTGAGCATTAACCCTGTAACGATGGTGGGCCGTATGGATCTGACTGTTTCTTCTCTTGCTCGCAGTTGCGCCCAAGACCATCTGTTTCGGACGAAATAGGCGAAATACTCTCGTCCAGGACTTGCTTACTTGCCGGCCCAGAATAGCGGCAAAACGAAACAAGAAGCAGCGTGAAAACCGGGGCCCATGAAATCATCAACCGTTCTTCACGGTCGTCCGCCCCCCAATGGTGTCCTTCCGGGCCGGTTCTGGTGCCGGTGCTGATCCGCATAATGCGGTCAGTTCGGCAGCTATGACCATTCTGGGGTTGTACACACACGCCCCCCGTCTGACCAAGCCAGGAATGAGTAAAGAGAGAATCAAAAAGACTGTGTTAGTCGTGTCCATAACAGGAAATTTCCTACCCTTGCAGGGTCCGTTTCCCTTCTCTTACTGCGGAAACCCGCGTCTTGATTTCGAATCTCTTACGTCTGCTATGTTCTCTCCCGCTTCCTGTCTTTTGCTCCCTCGTCTTTCTATTTTCTTGTCTCTTTTCTTATTCCAGATCCCTTGTCTATTTCCGTTCCTTCTTCAACTCCTTTGCAGTACTCCCGCTTCTGTCATAGATATTTCCTTTTTCAGACCGGTCTTGTATCCTTCCTGCGGCCCGTGGCACGATTCTCAAGCGGACGTGGCCTTTCTTTCGTTGCCTTTTCTCCCTTCTCGTGCAGCATTGGACAGAGCCCTCAACCAGAGCAAGGCCAATCCGGGATATTTATTCTTTCCCAGAGTGTTCCTTTTCGCTCTTTCTCTCCTCTACTTTCCTCGTCCTTCATCCTCTTCTTGATCGTCCTTGGCAACGTTGTTCTTATTTCCTTCCAACCATACCCTTCATCTTTGTAAACACATTGCACAATGGCTCCCGCTGCCATCTACGACGACAAGGACGTCAGCGTCCCGTTCGTCAGCGCCGCCAAGTCCGGCCGGGCCCTCGAGGACATTTCCGATGCCATCGACGAGGTCAACGTGTTGAAGGACGAACGCACCGCCACAAAGGCAAAGACAAACACAAGCACAACCCAGAAACCTGCCTACAACGAGGAGTCCGTGTTTGACCAGGACAAGGACAAGACCCAGTTCCGCCAGTACGACGACGCCTGCGACCGCGTCAAGGCCTTTTACCGCGAGCAGCACGAGAAGCAGACCGTCGCCTACAACCTCAAGGCACGCGCCCGCTACCACGCCGCCTCGCGGACGCGCGAGGCGATGACCATCTGGGAGGCCATGGAGAAGCTCAACACGCTCATTGACGCGTCCGACCCGGACACGGAGCTGAGCCAGATCCAGCACCTGCTGCAGAGCGCCGAGGCCATCCGCCGCGACGGCAAGCCCCGCTGGATGCAGCTCACCGGCCTCATCCACGACCTCGGCAAGCTGCTCTACTTTTACGACGCCGAGGGCCAGTGGGACGTCGTCGGCGACACCTTCCCCGTGGGCTGCGCCTTTGACCGCGAGCGCATCATCTACGCGGACTCGTTTGCCGCCAACCCGGACGCCGCCCACCCCGTCTACAGCACCGAGTTTGGCATCTACTCGCCGGGCTGCGGCCTCGACAACGTCATGCTCTCGTGGGGCCACGACGAGTACCTGTACCACGTCGTCAAGGAGCAGAGCCTGCTGCCGGCCGAGAGCCTGGCCATGATCCGCTACCACTCCTTCTACCCGTGGCACAAGGAGGGCGCGTACCGCCAGCTCATGTGCGCCAAGGACCACGCCATGCTGGAGGCGGTCCAGGCGTTCAACCCGTACGACCTCTACAGCAAGAGCGACGACGTGCCGAGCGTCGAGGACCTGAAGCCGTACTACCTGGAGCTGATTGACGAGTTCTTCCCGCAAAAGGTGATTCTGTGGTAGACAGAAACTTGGAGAAGGTAGGATTGCATGACAACTGGAGGAAACTATTGGAATAGACTGCTGCTGTGATGGAAAAAGTATGTCACTGGTTGTGTTGAGCATGGTTCTGCATGAGATGGCGTTTCATATATTGCCTAGAGTTGCTTCTGATTGATTTATACGCAAACAATAGCTTTTTTTGTTTTTGATTTATTATTATTTTCCCAGTTGAGTTTATTTACTTTTGAAGAATAAAACGTTTTTTATTTGAAAGAAACATAATATTTCTCCAGACAAATGCATTCTCATATAATTATATCATTAAACTACGGTAATATGAGTACAATTTAAATCGAAATTTGACAAACCACAGACGAACACCAGGCAATGCACACCATATCCAAGGCAGCCCCATACATAACCCGAAACAAAGGAAACCAGGTACCGAGTGATGATCACAAAGGAAAACTAGAAAGAGATGTAGTGATAGGACAGACAGCAATCATGTCCGCTGTGGTGGCGACCGCGATCACGTAAAGGCAGAGGCAGAGGCAGAGGCAGACGCCGATAGGATGCTGCTCACCCAGCGGACGACACGGCCTCCTCGCCACCACTGGCCACGGCTAAAAAAGCCTTTTTGGGGAGCGGGCTGTTGCCGGCAGATAGGGCGTCACGGCTGTTGGCCACGGTCGGCTTAGGCATGGACGAGGGGATGGACATGGTGCGGGCGCGCTTGCTGTTGAGGCCCGCGCCGTTGCCGGTGTTGCGAGCGGCGTAGACCTCCTGGAAAGCGAGTGCGGCCTGGGCTTTGGTGACGACCAGTCCCTGGGTGATGGGCTGGTGGTCGCCGTTCTCGACGACGGCCATGCTGGGCCAGACGACCAGTAGAATGTCGGACGGATCCATCTCGTCGTCGTCGTCGTCTTCGTCGTCGGCAATGGCTGTGTCATTGTCGGAGGAATTCGCAACGGCGGTGTCATCGGCGGCGGCGTCGGCGTCGGCGTTGTCGCCGGCATCCGTGTTGCCCTCAGCAGGCTCACCCTCGGCCTTGTCTTCCGCCGTCGGTGGTGCACCCTCACCAGCAGGGGCATTACCCTCGGTGGTGGTATCGGCATCGGCACCGACGGCCGTGCCGTCCAGCTCAACCGCGGCCGCTTCGTCGCTCTCGATCGTAACGACGGGCGTGTCCTCGGCCTGCGCAGGCGACCCACCACGCGCGCTGCTGGCACCACTCCCCGTCTGCGGTGAGCCCGTGCGGCCCTCGAACTCGGGCAGCGGCAGCGCCTGCCAGTCGAACTCGTCGTACGGCGGGCCAAAGTACGGCTCAATCTTCATGCGCGCCGTCTGAATCTTTTGCCACTCGGTGCACGCGAGCGCGCAGGCGCTGCCGAGGCCGCTACAGAACGCGTCGTACGGCAGGGCGCCGAGCAGGTGCTGGACGACCCAAGAGACCTCGCGGACGACGTGCTGCACGCGGGCCTTGGCGCTGTGGCGCTGCACGTCCGGCAACGTGGCGAGCAGCGTGGCGCGGATGTGCTCTTCGCGTTCCGGGCTCTGAAACTCGACGCCATGCAGCACACGCGTCAGCTCGGCGTCGTCGTCGATGAGGTAAACGGGGCGGAAGATGTGCTTGTGGAGGGTGCGCGAGAGAATGGACAGGACAGCGGCGATGCGCATGGCCTTGGCGACGGGCGAGTTGGACTGGGGCAAGGGGACCTGTGTCGGGCCCTTGAGGGCTTCGGCGGTGCGCAGGTTCTTCCAGCAGGAGGGGTCGCTGAGCACCTTGTCCTCGAGGTCCTGGCGGAAGTGCTCTTCGACCAAGTGGAACAGGCGTGTCCAGATCGTGTCGAGGATGGTGACGTACACGTCTTCGGGCTGGTTGCGGAGAACGACGCGGTAGCTGTCGAGCGCGGCCAGACGCGCTGTCTTGCCTACAAGATCGGCCTCGGTGTGGCATAGGCTCTCCTTGAGGCTGTCGCGCTCCTTGGTGAGCTCCTGCAGGCTGCTATTGGTGGCTCCGAGGTCGGATTTTGTCTTTTCGAGTTCTGTCTCGCGTTGGGCAAGGGATACTTGGAGCGCTGCATTTTCTTGGGCGGCCACGTCTGACAGGTGTTTCTGCTCCTCGAGTTTGGCCGTTACTTGGCTGAGCTCGTTCTCAAGCGATGCTTTGAATGTCTTGAGCGAGTCGAGTTCCGTGTTGGCCGTAGCCAGGTCGGCCTCGAGTTGGTCTTTGGCACCTGTGGTGTCGGCCAGCTCCGCGGCGGTGGTCTGGAGGGTGGTGTCGAGCTTGTCGCGCGCCTCGGTCATGAGTGTCAGCTCCTGAGCTTTGCCGGCAAGGTCGGCCTCGACAAGCGACTTGGCAGCCTCGAGGCGGGCCTGGCCGTCCTCCAGCTCGCGCCGAAAGTCCCAGTACTGCTCAAAGACGTTGCGGTTGGTGCTGACGAGCTCGGCATTCTTGGCGCGCAGGTGCAGCACTTCGCTGAAGATGTTGGCCAGCAGGTTGTAGTTGGGGTCGGCGGCGATGGTCTTGATGGCGCCGACGAGGCCGTCGACGACGTCTGTCGGGTCGGCATTGGGTCCGATGTCCGCAACCATTATGGGGGGTAGAAAGGGACCCTATGCAGTGTGTAAATTGTGTGAATAAAGGAAAAGGAAACCGCCTGAGATGCAAACGGGCAAAGAGAGCAGATCGGAGTCTGCTCAATGTTGATGAGGAATGTTGACTTGTTTGCCTTTGTATGAATAGAGCGGCCGTCTGACAACTGTGGGCGGAGGGTCTTTTATATTATCGGACGCGCAATTATGATGCCCAAAGTGTAAGGAGTCATGCCACTCGATGCGTGACGGACGAAAGTGAGGCGTCTCAGTCTGTGGTTTCTTTTCATCGGCGATGTCGCTGCTTGATGAGACGGTAGAGCCGGCCAATCAGCATGATCGATCGAGTGGTCACTCGACAATTGTGTATGAGTCTCGTTTCTTTGCATTGTCCACCTGGTCGACACGTGCGGTCATAAAGCTGGCCGAAGAGAGACAACAAAACAAGCTCACACTCGTATTGACTCAACTCGTCCGCCCTGTTTCGTCGTCCTCGAGATGTTTGTCGCTGTAGGCACGATGACAAACAGTGTTTGCCGCCTGGTTGGCATCTCTTGGGCCACAGCGGGTGTGCCCAACGGTCGAATGCCTCGATGGAGACTTGAATGGATCCCTTGGCCTTCTGGTCCGTTCCGGTAGCCTAATTGTGTCGAGCAGGCTGATGGGGGAGGTCGAATGGAGGGTGGTTAGCGATGGAGTCGGAACAGTCAGCAGGATTAGTTTCAGAGCGCAGATTGCAGCCTGTACCAGAGTGTCTGTTGATGCTCGATGGCTGTAATCATCTGTCCTTCCTGAGTCTTCCCGATTGCATTGGTGGCTTGGATCGTTTGTTGACTCCACGGGTCGAGGTCGACGTGGCAGCCCTCTTCGCCATTCCCGGCCCACGACGACGACACTCCCTCCATCTCTCCTTCCCTCTCTCACAGCACTTGTGTTTTCTTGCCTAATCTGCCAAATTCGGCCATTAGGATAGGTCCAGAGTCGACCCACCGCGAATGGGTTGGAGGAGAGAGGATATTGTCTGGCGTTAGGTGTGTAAGGCGGTCTGCTTTGTGCCTCTTGCTTTTGTGTTTGGGACTATTGACAGAATAAATTGTGCGAGAATAGCCAGACTCGTCCTCCTTGTACTCTGCATTGTATATGTTATCGCACTGTACAGAAATTATAGAATATACTCCGTACCTGGAAACTGGCAAAAATTGTGTTGCGTTGTCAAATAGACTGGACGAAGAAGGAGCGAACGATGTTGTCGTAGTGCTGTCTCAGTCGAGAAAGAGCGATTCTCGTTGCGCGTGCGTCCCTTCCTCTCTGGGCCTGATCCAAATTGGGCAGGCACACAAACAAAGTGCCCACTTTCCACTGCCAGGTTGTCTTGTCACATTATGCTACCAATCGCGTCTCTCCCGCTGTCCCGTCTCTTTGCAAACCCAACCTGATCTCTTTTGACTCAGTAAACAGCACATCGGTGGCGAGGACCAAACTTTCCTGGCATCAGGCACGATCGTGAGACAGCTTGGGCGGGCTTTCTGTGCGCTGCCGCCTTCCTACAAAACACCACTCGGATTGCACCACGTCGACTCGACTCCATTTATGACGGGTCTTGGGCCTTGGGTTGACCCAAAGTCAGAGTGTGGACGGTGACCAATCACAGGTCAGTGGACTGGACGTTGTTTGACATTTGTTAAGTTAATGTGCTTTGTGTCTAATATGTACAGGATGTGAATCTAACTCGTGTTGCAAAGGGTCAAAGAGAAAACGGAAGAAGCCAGACGAACAAAGCAAGCAACTAATAATGCAACGAAATAACGCAAGGAAAGCATATACAAACGCAAAGAAAGACGTCATAGGCAAGTAACGTCGAATGCAGAGTATGTACAGTTGTGGAATACACTCGCCAACGGATGGCATGCAGAGTAGGTCTCTTCTCGCATTCCCCCAAGTTTCAACTGCTCTCAGTTTCCACCGGCACAGCTTACAAACGCAGCTCGCGCGGACGGTCGCTCTGGCCCTCGCCGCCGCCACTGCTCCATGACACCGCGTTGCGGCTCTGGATGGTGCCGCTCTTGGTCAGCAGCTTGCGCTTGCCGGCCGTCGACAGCGGCGCGCCGTCGTCCGCCTCGCGGATGTAGTAGGCCCAGTCGGCGGTGGCGTCGAGCTCGGTCTGCGAGTAGCCGTTGCCGAGCCAGGCGAAGCGGTTGCCGGCATAGGTAATGTCAAAGTCGTCGAAGCGCAGCTCCTTGACGGCCTCGATGTAGTGCAGGGTGCTGCCGGGCCAGAGAGCCGTGATGGGCCCGTCGGGGCGCTGCTTGTACCACGAGCGGCAGGGGTCGGCCCAGACGGTGCGGCGCATGTAGTACTCCTTGAACTCGACAAAGTCGCGCACGGACTGCGCCGAGGGCGCAAACGTGGCCATGTTGGTCGTCTGGAAGCGGTCGATGAGCTGGCACATCCAGTCGGCCTGCGCCTCAATGGCCGACAGCACGGGACCGTTGCCAATGGGGCAGTTGGGCCCCAGGAACACGAGGTAGTTGGGCACGCCCGCGGCCGCGACGCCAAAGTACGACGCCGGGTCCACGGCCCACGTGTCCTGCAAGTTGTCGCCCGTCGGCGTGATGACGGGGAAGCGGGGGCGGAACGAGGTGTCGAAGCCCGTGGCGCAGATCAGCACGTCCACCGGGTACTCCTGGCCGTTGTCGCAGAGGCAGCCCTTTTCGGTGACGGCGCGGATCTCGCCGTACACGACCTCGACGTTGGCCTTGGTCAGCGACTCGAGGTAGTTGACGCCCGGCGTCAGGCGCCGGCAGCCGACCGACCAGTCGGGGATGAGCTTCTCGGCCAAAGCGTCGTTGTTGAGCTTCTCCTTCATCTGCGCAATCATGTACGCGCGCGTGTCCTCGTTGATCTTGGACTTTTTGAGGAAGATGCCGTACTGGCCGTTGAGGCCCGTCTCAATCTCCTTGCGGTACTTGAGCAGCGCGCCCGGCTTGTTGGCAAACTCGGCGCGCTCCTCGGGCGAGTAGATGTGCTGCTCGAGGCCCTGGACGGGCGACACCCACGTCGGTTCGCGGATGAAGGTGGTGACCTTGCTGCACTTTTCGCGGATGGCAGGCAGGACCTGAATGCCGGAGGACCTGATGGGGGAGTTATGTTAGCGAGACGAACGGTGGTGACACAAAAAAAAAGGAGTAGAACGCCAATGACACTCACCCATTACCTATCAGGCCGACGTGCTTGCCGTCCAGAACGGTGTTGGGGTCCCAGTTGGCCGTGTGCAGCAGCGTGCCCTTGTACTTGTCCAGGCCGGGGATGGCGGGCCAGCGCCAGTTGTTGAGGATGCCGGAGGCATTGATGAGGATGTCGCAGTGGTCGCTGACCACGACGCCGTTCGCGTTGTCCTTAATCTTGACGTCGTAGCCGCCCTTCTGGGTGTCCCAGTACGCGCCAATCACCTGGTGCTGCAGCTTGACGTACTGGCGCAGATCGTACTTGGTGGCAAAGCCCTCAAAGTAGTCAAAGATGTCCTTGGCGGGCGGGTAGACGGCCGGCCAGTCGAGCTTGGGCTCAAACGACCACGTGTAGTTGTGCGAGGGAACATCGCAGGCGCAGCTGGTTGGGCGTTAATAGACATGTCCCACTGCGGGTATGTTACTTCGACTCCGCAGACACCTACCCAGGATATCGGTTCTCAAACCATGTGCCGGCGACGGCAGGGTTCTTCTCGTAGATGGTCAGGCTGAAGTTGGTAAAATGCTTCCGCATCTTGTAGGCAAACAACAGACCCGAGGCACCGGCACCGACGCAGATGACACGGATGTGGCGCTCCGAGTGGATGGGCGCCTCGAGACGGCGGGCAGCATCGCGGGCCTGCGGCGAGTTGCCGGCCGGTGTCACGCTGCTGGCCATTGTGTGAGAGCGGGAGGGAGATGGGTGAGGAGAAGGAAAAAGCGGAAGACAATGGATCAAGGAAGAGAAGTAGGACGAGAATCTGTAGAAAAAGAAAATAAATAAAAAAGGGTATCGATGAAAAAGAAAATAAATACTGTTCACAAACAAAACAGGGAGGGCACGTAAAGCACTTTGTACTCGAGACAAACGCACTCACAATGACCAGGCCGGTTTGGGCAAAGCTCGGGTTACGAGACCCGACCCTTGTTCTGGTTGGGGAAATGTACCATAACTCGTGAATGAAAAGAAACGATATGGCACTAGAGTTTTCTGTGTGTGGCTGTTCTATGCCTATTTCTTCAATTTTTGCAGCACATGTATCGTGCTGGATTAGTCTGGGAAACTTGATTCTACTTTAACAAACAGTTGAATGTCCCAGCCGTTGTCTCCCCGCCGACTCGGGTTGTACGCCAGGGGATCTTCGGAGCACATCTTCGGAGCACATCTTCGGAGCACATCTTCGGAGCACACAGCGGTGATCGTTGATGCGGCTGTTTTGTTCTCCGCAGTCGTTGTGGAGAGAATGGCATCGGGGAATGGCATCAGGGAATGGCATCAGGGTACTTTACAGATGATGTTGGCGTTTACTGATCAACATACAGGATTTCAGGGTCGATAGATGGGTACAGCGTGACAGGGTCGGAGTATGAGCTCAGTCTTAAACAAAGAAGATGGGACAGCTAGTGCTGGTTGCCAGCTTTCAAGAACAAGCAAAATTTCCGACGTAATTAGAGATGTTGGAGGTCTCGAAAGGCTGGGGATCAAGAGGTCTCGGAGCCTAGAGTCGCCTGAGCTGAATCCCGTACGCACAAGAAGAGGCAATGTTCACAACGGAGATCACGGCACAAGGGACAATGAGCTGCATACAGAAGAGCCTAGCGTGACAGTAGCTGGAAGGCACTATGGGGTTTTCGGGGACGGAGACCGGGATGTCGGTGCAGAGCAGCAAGTTGAACCGGCTGACGAGTCAAGAGCCAAGAATGGGAACAGTGACGACGGCGAAGATGAACCTCTGAGGACAAGGAAAGCTGGGTTGCCCCACGACTCCAGCCGAAGAAGCGCGGCATCCTCGTTAGCTGGCTAGCTGGCAAGCTCTGAGGGGAGGGGAAAGGGCCAGTCCCACAGACGAGAGCGTACGGAATACATAAGTCTTGAAGTTCTCGGCCATCATAAAGGACCAAACGAGAAGAACAAATAATGGGCTCTGGGCAATTTTCCAGGCTGCGCTGGACACGACGGTGAGGAATGGGCGCTGTGGGTTAGGGGCTGGAATACACAAACAGTGAGAGGAGAGTGCGAAACTCGCACATTCCATCGACGAGTCATGACATGAGCTCATGCGGCCGTCTTTGCACAAGACGAGTGTGGAGGAACCAAGAAAGCGAGCTCGCGAGGTGTTGCTGCATGCAGTCGACTCCGCTATTGGCGTTTTGTCAACGCTGGTTGGCCATGCGTGACAGGGACTGTTTGGCGCTAACTTGTCGTTGTGGTTGCTTCGTCTGGGGGTAGTGGAGCTGTGGAGTTAGCGGTGTTTGTGGACGTGTTAGTGGGTATTAGTGGTGTTAGTGGATGCTGAGAACAAAATGCATTGTCGCATTGCGGTCAGCGGAGGAAAGGGGGAGAAACGATGAAAATAAAAAGGTGGGAAGCAGCAGGTCACAACAAGAACGTGCCGGGAAAGCTCTGCCGCCGTAAGGCAAGTGTGAGTGGACAGCTGCAGCTCCAAGAGAACTTTGGAATATCGGATACGTGAACGGTTGAGCCCTTGAGAAGTGGCATAATGCGGTCTTTTGTTTTGAGATATGGCCAGCTGTTTCCCTCCGTACAATTGACGAGTCGCTCTTGCCAGACAGACAATATCATCGTAGCCGTCCAGACGACGGACTTGCGGGTCGCTGATACGGGAATGATTCATTACCGCGCCGTGTCAGAGGCACAGGGAAGGCACGACACCACGCGGCTGGGCTGTGGAGAGGCTGCCTGCACGTCAGCACGCTGCTACACCAAGCCAGGTCTGGCAACTGAATCGCAGCGGAAAGACGAGTCAGTGGCAAACGGGAAGCAATCAAAAAAGCAAGAAAGACATTGCAATACACGCGGTAAGAGTGGCCAGGGCTAACAATTTGTTTATTCGTATTTTCGTGTCTTTTCATGAAGCTATGTACAGTGGACACAGGCCTTTCAGCTGCCTATTGTCTCTGGGGATTTCGTCTCAGGGGATTGTGGTGGCCGCACCCGCCTTAGTAAGTCAGGTTGACAAACACCGTCTTGGTGTCGGTGAACATGCGCAGGGCATTGATGGCGTTCTCGCGGCCGACGCCGCTCTCCTTGGTGCCGCCAAACGGCGCGTTCAGGAAGCACATGGACACGCAGTTGACGCCGACCATGCCGCTGTCGATCTCGGCCGACAGGCGCATGGCGCGGTTGATGTCCTGCGTAAAGACGCCGGCCATCAGGCCGTAGTTGGTGTCGTTGGCCTTGGCGACAATCTCCTCCTCGGTCGTGAACTTGTTGAGCACGGCGACGGGGCCGAAGATCTCGCTGCGCAAAATCTCGGCGTCGTCGCCGACGTTCTCAAACACCGTCGGCTGCACGTAGTAGCCCTTGCCGTCGAGGACGCTGCCGCCGACCAGCAGCGTGCCCTGGGCCTTGCCGCGCTGCAAAAAGCCCGAGACGCGGTCGAACTGGAGCTTGTCGACGAGGGGGCCGATGATGGTCTGCTCGGCGTCCGGGTCGCCGACGCCGCGCATCTTGTCCTCCATGGCCTTCTTGTAGCCGGCGACAAACTGGTCGTAGATGCCCGCCTGGACGTAGACGCGCGACGCCGCGAAGCAGACCTGGCCCGTGTTGGCGGTGATGCCGTTGGCGCACCAGGTGATGGCGTTGTCGAGGTTGGCGTCGTCAAAGACGACGGCCGGGCTCTTGCCGCCGAGCTCGAGGGTCACGCGCTTGAGGTTCGACCGGGCCGCCATCTCTTGGATCTTGCGGCCCGTGGCGGTCGAGCCCGTGAAGCTAATCTTGCGCACCTTCATGTGCGACGCCAGCAGCGCGCCCGTCGCGCCGTCGCCGGTGAGGATCTGGAAGACGCCGGGCGGGAAGCCGGCGGCGCGGATCATGTCGCCGAGGGCGAGCGCCGCAAACGGCGTCTTCTCCGAGGGCTTGAGGATGAAGCAGTTGCCCGTGGCCAGGGCGGGGCCGGCCTTCATGCCGACGTTGCCAATGGGGCCGTTCCAGGGGATGATGCCGGCCGTCACGCCCAGCGGCTCGTTGCGCACAATCTTGAGGAACCCGTCGTCCTGCGGGTACGTCTCGCCGGCAAACTTGTCGATCCAGCCCGCAAAGTAGCGCAGCGCCTCGGCGCACAGGTTGATCTCAAACGACCCGAACGCGCCAAACGGCGCGCCCAGCGTCAGCCGCGTCAGCTCCGCCAGCGCCAGCCCGTTGGCCTCGAGCAGGTCCGCGAGCTTGAGCATCATGTCGCGGCGCTCGCGGGGCGCCACCTTGCGCCAGGCCGGGAACGCAGCCTCGGCAGCGGCCACGGCCGCCTCGACGTCCTCCTCGCCGGCCAGAGAGACATCGTTGGCCACAAGCTCGCCGTTCTTGGGGTTGTAGAGCTCGAGCTTCTTGGCGTTTTTGGACTCGACGTACTCGTTGTTGATGAACAGCTTCTTGGGCAGGTTGTTCTTGCCGTACTTGGTCTCAAAGGTCTTGACCTCCGTGGGGATCTTGAGGCTGGGTCCGAGGCTCATTTTGTGTGTGGAGGGGGGGTTGTTGAGGAGAGGTGGGTATACGTTGTAGAGGGTGTATAAGTACACAAGGGTATCGTGGTTGTGGAAACAGAAAAGTGAAAAAGGTTGGAGAATAGATAAATAGATAATAATGAACAAAGAACACAAAATAGAGGATAAGCAAGAAATTGTAATGCAGTCTGAAGAGAAGGTCAAATTGAGTACAAAGGTACGTCAACACAGCTTCATACTGAGCAAGCGTCGTTAACGCCGAAGATTTATTTATTTTATTCCGTCTCTCACACCTGCCCGCAATCGCCAAACGCTAACCGAGACGAGGCGGTAATCGTGTCCCCCAAGCCTAGCACAGGGTGCAGTCCAGGGGGGAGCACTGCATCATCGTTGGAAGGACTGTGAGGTGAAGGACGAACGGTGCGCGGTCTGGACGGGCAACAATGGCCGTAATACGTTCTTTACGCCCAGTACGGAGCAGTTCCTTGTGCCTGGGACATGCATCATGTGTACGGAGTACGTGAGGGTGCGAGCTTTTGTTTGCTGCTAGCCGTGCCCTGGACACGGCGTTCGATGTACGGAGTAACCTGCCATTGAACCGTGTGCCCATTCACGTCGGGAATAAAGGTCAAGGCCAGTAATGCTGTTGGCATGGAAGGCACGGAAAAGGAAGAGCAGAGAGGAAACGAGCGGAGGTGTACGAGGGGAGCATGGAACGGTCTCTATAGCTGGGAAGCAGACACAAAGGACTACAAAAACTCCTGGTTAAGGACGATGCCGCCAGAAGGGAGTAAATGAACGTGTCCAGAAGGAAAATCGAGGGAGTTGGAGAATGGAGGATGAGGTGCCATTCAAAGGACGCGAGTGGAAAAGCGTGAAAAAAGGGGTGAGTGGAGAGGGCCACCACGGAAAACGAACGAGGAAACAAGGGGACAAAGTGAATCATTCAGGCCAGGTGGAAATCAATATCCGTTGGGCCACCATCGTAGGGGCGTAATAGTGTGTCGAGTGTTCGGGGTAATCAGCAACCAGCAGTGAATGACTGTCGGGCAAGTGTTGAAATCGAGAGACAAGGTTGTCTAAATCTGTTGGTAAATTGACTTGAGGAGGTCCGAAACGGCGGTCCAGTAAAGCAAAAGGGTCAAGGGTAGTTCACAAGACGATGAGGGTAGGGGTCGAAAATGGCAATTTCGAGATTGTAAGTCGTTTTTGTCAACAGCGACACGACGAAACACATTCCGCCTCATATTGTGACGACATTATCGCAGAATACAGCCTAGGACACATAGCTACTGTCACTCGCCTTATTATTCTTTCTTCATTGTGTTCGTGCGCATCCAGACATTAGGGGCTGACCGATGGTGACAGCCAGAAGCAAGAGCAACAATGACTCGTACAGCACCCACATAATTCCTACAACTCCAGACACAGAAAATACGGAGACAGACGAAACAGAGTTAGTTGATTGGAAAGTTTGAGGCGAACGGCACCAATGAGACCAACAAAGACATCTTGACTCGCAAACTGGAAAGGGATACTGGTGAAGGAGAACGTGTGACTTTAACAGAAGACAAGATAAGAAAATAAACATGATAGTGACGAGAAAGTACTCCAACTATAGACTCGTAAGGAGTACACAGCAAGTTGTGACAGACATATACTGTTCGCGGACCCATCGCGCTCTTCCTGTAAAGCGTGCAAGCCAAGAGCAGTTGCTCCTGCCACAGTCGACCCCCGCGATCAAGGAACAGGAATAGGGGATCCGACAATGCGGAGAGGTACCGAAACACTCTGATTATTTGGTGTATAGAGGAGGGCTGTACGTATCGCAGGGCTAAGTACCTGGTAGTCTCGTTGGGACGTTTGTCCAGAGCAGTTTCTCCTCCACACTCCAAGTGGCTCCGGGACGTGTTTACACGGCTGCGGGTACGCAGAGCCAAATACCCCTTGGAGACGAGTGCGGGAGGAGGGGTGACGAAGCAAAACACAACTAGGGAAAAGAGTGACCAGACCCCAAGCTGCTAAGATAGCTGACTCGCGTATTTGGGAACGTCAACCGACCTTGAAGGTGATGCTGCCTGGTAGACGTCTCCGTCCTCGTCGTCTCCTACCCTTTATATAGCTTCCCCTCCAAGCGCGCCGGCATCAAAGGGTCAGACAGGTTCTCAATATTTTCCTTCTCGTTATACTTACGCTTGCATCCTTCTTCACATCCAACATACCCACCCCCTGCCTTCACCACCCGCTATCTCTAACAATGGCCCTTCCCAAGACCATGCAGGCGGGCCAGTGGGACCCAAAGCTGAACAAGGTGGTGGTCAACGAGGTGCCGGTGCCGACGCCCGGCCCCAACCAGTTCCTGGTCAAGATCAAGAGCGCGTCGCTGTGCCACAGCGACCTCATGAACATGGAACGCGCCGCCTGCGACTATCCGGTGACGATTGGCCACGAGGGCGTCGGCCACATTGTGTCGTTCCACCCGTCGGCCGAGGGCAAGGGCTTCCAGACGGGCGACGCCGTCGGCTTCGGCTACTTTGTCGACTGCTGCTTCGAGTGCGAGGGCTGCATGGTGCACAACGCGCACTGCCAGCTGGGCACGGCCAGAATCCAGGGCTTCAACGCGGACGGCTTCTTCGCCGAGTACGCCGTCGTCGACTACCACAACGGCATTGTGCTGGACGAGGCGGCGTGGGACCTGCGCACGGCGTCGGCCATGTTCTGCGCGGGCATCACGGCCTTCAACTCGGTCGACTCGTGCGCGGCCGCGGCCGGCGAGTGGCTGGCCGTGGTCGGCTGCGGCGGCCTGGGCCAGCTGGCCACGCAGTACGCCAAGGCCATGGGCCTGCGCGTCATCGGCATCGACGTCGCGGACGCCAACCTCGCGGAGACGCGCAAGCAGGGCGCCGAGGTCACGTTCAACTCGCGCACGAACCCGCACTACATCGACGAGATCAAGGCGCTGACGCGCGGCGGCGCCCACTACGCGGCCGTGTACACCAACGTGCAGCCGGCGTTTACGAGCGCGCCCCAGGTGCTGCGCATCGGCGGCACGCTCATGGTCGTGGGCATTGCCCCCCAGCCGCTGGCGGTGACGGCGATGGAGCTGGTGCTCGGCGTGTACAAGATCAAGGCCGACAGCACGGGCATCCCGCAGCGGATCCCCAAGGCGATTGCGTTCTCGGCCAAGCACAACATCCGCCCCGTGGTGGACGTGCGCGGCGGCCTGGACAAGCTGGAGGGCATGGTGCAGGAGATGATGGAGGGCCGCAACACCATGCGGACGGCGGTTGTGTTCGAGTAGGCTCGCGGGAGACGACAACTACTTACTAAAATACGTGTCAAAGTACATAGCGGTGCTGAATCTGTTCATAGCTATAAGCGAATTTATACATCCTACTGGATAACCGCTCTTTCATCATCATGTTGTTATTTTCATATCGTCATTGACTGTAACATGGCCTCTCATGAAATACACACAAAACTTGTTTGCGTGTCTTCTCCGTCTCCCACCACTCCTCCGTCTGTGAACAAGTGGTGTCTACTGCGTGGTGAAGCCGCCATCCGAAATCAGCGCCGCGCCCTGCATGAAGCTGCTCATGCGCGAGGCCAGGAACACAATGGCATCAGCAATCTCCTCCATGGCGCACATGCGCTTGAGCGGCGTGCGCGCAATGTCGATGCCCAGCGGCGAGTCCGGGTTGGTGCTCATGGTGCGCAGCAGCAGCGGCGTCTCGACGTAGCCCGGGCAGATGCAGTTGACGCGGATGTTGTGCGGGCCGTACGTGTTGCCGTCGCCCTTGGTCAGGCCGACCACGCCGTGCTTGGCCGCCGCGTACGCCGTCTGCGCCATGCGACTGCCGGGCGCCACGATGCCGTACATGGACGCCGTGTTGATGATGCGGCCGCGCCCGTCGCGGGGGCCGCGGTCCTCCTGGCTGACCATCACGGCCAGCTCCTCCTTCTGGCAGCGCCACACGCCGTCCAGGTCGATGTTGATGACCCGGCGCCACTCCTCCTCGTCGACCTCGTGGGTCGGCTTGCCGGAGCCGCCAATGCCCGCGTTGTTGACGGCAATGTCGAGGCGGCCAAACCGCGCGACGACGGCGGCCACGGTGGCCTTGACCTGCTCGCCGCTCTGGACGTCGACCTGCAGGCGGAGGACGTTGACCTTGGGGAACTGCGCCTGGAGCTGCTTGCTGGTCGTCTCCAAGGCCTCGAGGTTGATGTCGGCCAGCGCCAGGTTGGTGATGCCGTAGCGGGCAAACGCGAGGGCCGTGTATTGACCGATACCAGACGCAGCACCGGTGATGAAGGCGGTTCCCTGAACGAGGCCGGCCATTGCGGTGGTTGGGGTTTGTATGGAAAAAGATAAACCAAAGAGAAAAAAAAAAAAAAAAAAAAAGAGACAAAGCAGGTTGCGATGCTACTGACTGTATCTGGCGAGTTGGAGATCTAGAATACTCTACGAGTCCTTCGCAAACATATCTGTCTAGTCCAGCAACTTGTTCATCTTGTAGCTCCATCCCCATCTTCGTTCCCCTTTTTCAGTGTTCCCCAACCGCGCACGCCGTCACCGTGTAAATACAGCCTGTTCACAGCCCCTACGAAGCAGTCATCCACATTCGGCCGTCTTTGTGCCCGATCTGTACCATCGTGCCTGTCTCCAAGCCTGAAAAGCTCTGAAAGCACGGAACGACCTTGAACACTGTCCGCATCCCCTCTTTCCGTCTCCGACCATCCTGCTAAGGTGGGGAAGAGCACGAGTGCCTCGGAGATGGCGGGCTGAGCTCGACAGTTAGGGACGAAGCTGAGTCCCTGACTCTTAAGCGCGAGAGCAAGTGCCGCCAGTGCCCAAGTGCCCAAGTGCCCCAGGCTCCTCTTTAGGCCTCTTAGGCAACGTTAGGCCCTCGGTAGGTGCCACAGTCTCTGTAGTCTGCTTTTAGTGGTTTCTCCAACCCACACTCCCCACGCATGCTTCAAGCCTCTTCGGATGTGATTTCGCGGAGTGCAGTGCTGACCCGATGTGAAGAGGTGAGCCCCAGACAAGGCGCTAACACGATACTGCATTACGAGGTACGGACCAAGGTCGGTAAAAATGCAATTCCCGGGATTGTATGCCCACTTGGCCCAGGCAAGCCGTGTGCAGTTTGTAAATCTCTACTACTACGGAGTCATACAGAGTTTCTGAACAATACGTGAATGGCCTCCCCGGTGGCAGAACGACAGAGGGCGCAAGGCAAGAGACGAGATGACTACATTGAAGCGGATTTGGTCAGGTTGTCTATTGTGAGAGAGCTTCGAATTCAACAAGGCTGGAAGGACGAAAACGGGAAGAGAAGGTTGAGAGTGAATCAGGTGACAGATCTTGTGACAAATCCTGTGACACAGCTTTCTGGCAATAATTGTAGGTCGTATGAGACTGAATATGCGGCTCTGGTGGATCTGTAAGTTATGCAAGAGTCGAGATTCGTCGGCACATAAAGTGGTTCTTTAATATAGATCCGCTCAGCGACTGCGGCAGCACCAAAGGCTGGACACAAAACGTCGAATGCGGAAAGCAGAACCGCGGAGGGACGTTCCGATGAGGACAGCACAGCAAATGCAGAGGAAATAGGGGAGACGAAATGAATAAAAGAAACGAGCACGGCGTAGACGAGGCGACGAAATCAAAACGCGGACTGGCTTCATGTCATCGCTCAATTGACGTCCCTTGACCAATTGACGAGTTCGCCTGTTCTTTTTCCCTCCATTATCCCCATAATCATTGTCGTCGACATCCCCATCCCATCACGATGACGTTCTCTGTGGCCACCTTCGTCTCCTGGGCCGCTGCTGTCGCTGCATTCGGCGCGCACAACCCGCCGCCCAAGGGCGAGGTCACCAAAACCGACAACTTTGTCTGGGCCGATCCCTTCCACGACCACCGCCTCGCCAACAAGCTGACGGCTGCATGCACCGTAGAGAAGTCGTTTCGCGCCAGCGAATTTTTGCTGCACGACCTCTATGAGCACCCGCCCAAGGGCCTGTGGAACTACGGCGACGCCCTCAAGACGTTTTTTAGCGGCCGGCCCTACCCGGGCGGCTGGGACGGACTGGACCCGCACATGTACGACCGCCCGCTGCTGCAGATGGACTATGCCGACGTGCCGGTCATTGTGCGGGAATGGATCGAGGCAGGCGAGCGGTACGAGAAGGGAGGCGGTGACGGAGACAAAGACAGAGACGACAATGACGACGAAGACGACGACGAGCAAGGCAAGGCCTTGGCGGGCCGCAAGAACCTGTTTGCCGTGTTTGAGCGCGCCGAGGGCCAGACGAAGATCACCAAGACCGTCGCGCCCCCCAAGACGGCCGCCAAGGCGGCCGTGCTGCGACCGCTCGACGCCAAGCGCATCGTGGTCTTTGCGCCCGGGGCGCTGTACGACATCCTGCCGCTGTGGGTCGCGGCCGAGGCGGCGGGCGACGACGCCTGCCGGAAGCAGCTGCTCGACCTCGACCACTACAACCCCAAGCCCAAGGACGGCGGCGTCATTGCGTGGACGACGCAGCACACGGCGCCGGACCGCGACAAGAACCAGCGCAACATGACCTTTACCATCAAGGCGCAGACGTTGCAGGCCGCGGGTGCGGCTTCGTTTGGTGGAAAGGAGGAGTTGTAAGGGAGACGAAGGAGTGGCACGCGACGTCGATCAAGACCAAGGACGTCAGGGACAAGCGACGAGCGGGCCGAGTCGAATTTGTTTGGGGACATAGAGTGCGACGAAAGCAAAGACATAGAATTTCAACACATTTACACCGACGATGTAAGGAACCCCCAGCATCGTGGCCCACTGCCGCAGTGCGCTAGACCAGAATTGTTTGCCTCAAGCGGCCCCCGTAGTTGTCCAAGTGGGCTCCTGTAAATCCGGGGTAACAGGGGTCACTTTGGCGTCCTCGATCTCGAAATCCATCGTCCTCAGGCTCTCAGCACAACCGCTTTGGTAATCACATAACCAGCCGAGTCCTTTTCGTAGGCGAGGAACCGCCGAGTCCGCCTTATTCCAGTTTCCTTCGTTTTCGTCGCCTCAGCCACATGCAAGGCCCAATGAGGCGCCGAGGAACAAAGGCGTTTCTCGAAGGCACTCGAGACGCTTTCGTTCTAACCAATGTGGCCGAGGCCACCGCCCTCTCCCTCTCTTCGTCTTTCTTCCAAGGCGAACAAATTTCAGCGAATCGGAGTACCCCGATGCCGGATGCGTCACTGCCATTGGACCGTCACAGCCTGCCCGTTAGGTCTCGGAAACCCCAGGCACTAGCCAAAAGCAAAGAAAAACAAAGCGCCAAGAACAAAGCCCACCAAATGTACCCCAGATTGTAGCCTTTCGTGACTCCCCGTGGCCCTGCCACGCTGTCCCGCATCCAAGCCCCATATTTGTCAGACGGGCACTGCGCCGCCCTGTTTTCTGGCGTCCGAGCCTAAAAAAATCCAAAACCGAGATTTTCATTCTTTCGCTTTCTTTTCTGACGCGAATGAAAACAAGAAAGCACGAATACAAAACCCCAGCACCCTATAAATACATCATCCACTCTCAACTCTTTTCATCTTCTCCATACATCCCACAAGACTTCAACTTGCATCTACTACACTTGCCAACAAACAACTGTTACGATCTCAGCCACCTCGCTCGATCGAGTCACGACAGACACCTTCTTACAACCTTCACCACCACACGACCTCACCACCTCGCAATGGCCCGCAGCTTCAAGGCCCGCCAGAGCGGTGGCACCAACCCCCAGACACCTCCCAACTGGACCGACATGGTCCCCCACAAGTACTGCGGCGCCATGGATCTCGGCCGCGTCGGCAAGGACAACAAGGCACAAAAGTGCGCGGCGTGCTTGACCGTCAAGGCACACCTGGACGGCGCGAACGATCGCGCAACAAAGCGCCGGCGAGAAGAGAAGATGTCGTACGCGATGGGCTTTGACTAAAGGACGAGTCGCGCGAGAGACGCGAAGCGTCGACGCGAGAGTCGCTCACAGACGATGGACTATTACTACTATATCGCCAACGACATCTCGCGGGCATCCTTGCGAACATCACCGCGAGCGTTGACCATCCAACGCATGCACATGGAATAACGACAACGGCGTATACGGCATTTGGGACATCTTTTTCATTTCCTTCATCATTATCACGACACAGCGGAACACGACATTCTCGATACCCTACAACTCGCGGAAACACATCACACCGCCACTCGTGGCTGCGCAACCAGCGACCCGAGAAATTACAGAAACACACAAAAAAGAGTTTTACTTTTTTTTTTTCAATATGACTTTTTCGATTTGGGCACGGGAAGCCAGGGAGAATACGCATGCATACGAAACGCAGGCGCTGACCGCCTTTTTGCTTTTTGCTTTTGCTTTTTACATTTTGCTTCTTTTGCTTGGGTTACATTCTGCATGTGTCACGGCCAGGCTGCAGAGCGCGTGCCGCCGACTTGCATATAGAACTAGAAATACAGTTTTATCGACAGATACACTTTATTCGCTCTCGTCAATAAACTTTGCTAAGTTCGAGTCAGTTTCCTCGCTCGTTTCTCTCGTTATAGATGTTCTCGTGATTGATGCTCTGGTGATGTGAGTTGGGCGGACAATAGTGGCGCCTGTCTTCTATGGTCACCCCTAACGCTACCAAAAGATGGTAGCTGTGCGATTGGTGCTAGGTAGAAATACAGGTCATAGCACGCTGTGGAGTGGCACGGTAAGGCTCGTTACAGGGCAGCCGCGCAAAACTCGTGATATGACGTCATAGTCATGAGCGGCTCTAAACGATGATGTTGTTCTATGCTCGACTTGTATTCTGTAATACAGTCAGTAATACATTTACATCGTACTCAAAACATAGTAGTTGCAGGTTATTGGAATAGGCTTTTGAAAATGCTTGTAGTCTCTCTCTATGCCTCCACTCTATGCGCCCGTCTCCTTATGGTAAGAGTCATGCAGGCCCGACTCTCCCTGTTCATCAAATATTCAAAAAGTCAACGCTGTTTACATGTAAATAAATATGTTCTAAAGTGTACGATGTATCTGGCTACTACTGTCGTTTTTCCATTAAATGAGTATGGACCTCAACAATCGTCGAGCCTTCTGTGTTTTACGAGAGCAAAGAGCCTTGAATCAACTCTTTTACAAACATTTGTTTTATTGGCTTCGAATACCTCTCGTAGTACCATACTCAACGCCCAAAAGGCCAACATCGCTTGTGCATCTACATCTTCATCTTCGCGTCCACTTGGGGTCTCGAGATCTCCCCGCTCCAGCACCGTGCGCGCGCCCTGGCCATGAAAGTGTCGTTGCTAAAACAGTTTGTCATTTTAAAAAGTTGGGGTTTATTTTGTATTTTTTTCGTCCATTTGCTGCCCCGATACCTCGTCGCTTTCAAGAGCGAGCTTAGTAAAAAAAAAAAAAAAAAAAAAAAAAAAAAAAGAAATGTAAGAGCAATAGTGAATAAAATACAAGAAACGAGTTCTGCAGCACGGAATATTATAATAACATAATTTGAAAACAAATGTAGCTTTGCAGTACAATGGCTGCACTTGCTGCGAAAACCCCAAGCGGCATCGTCGCTCCTTCCCTCTCGTGGTATTGTCCAGTCGTTCCTTCCTAATTTCCTGATTTCGCAGTACCACGCCACGCTATAATGTAAACAAACCACAACGCCTGCGTCTCGTCTCATTTCCCTATGTCCCCTCTCCCTGTATTTTTGCCTTTTCTTTTTCTCTTCTTTTCATAAATGTCCCATCCGGCGCATGCTCCCCTTTACATCAAAGGCCTCGACTTCGCTAGCGGAAAGGCAGATTGCTTCATCGCCGCGTCCAGCTGGCGCGCTCGGTACCGCTGCTGCCGCTTCTTGTACATATTTTCGGCCATGAAACATCCGACGCTGACGAGAATAACAACGAGGACCACGAGTCCAGCCACGATGCCCGCCACTTCCTGCGTGCTGAGCCCCGAGGCGTCGGTCACAAGCGCAGCCTCGCCGTTGTCGCTCGTATCGCTGCTGCCGGTTCTTGACGCTTCAGCACCGAGAGCCGTCCCAATCAAACTCAGATTGCTCGATACGGTGGCCTGGGTCGACGCCGGCGTGTTTGTTGCTGGCCGCGAGACGACGGACCCGACAGTCGTGGCCGATGGTGCAAGCGTCGACCCCGTGGGCCCCTGGCTTGCGCCATTAACGGTCACTGTCACGAGGGTCACAACGCCGCCAAAGCCGACGGAAACAGACACCGAGGTAAAGGGCCCGGATTGGCCAACACGTGGAAGGTCGGCCGAGCCGCCTGAAGACGGTGAGGAGGAAGAAGACGCCCCAAACAATGCGGGCACCTGAACCGCATTGGGGTGGTTCGGCCAGTTGGCACAGCAGTTGGCCGTCGTGGACGAGCCAGCCGATCCACAGCACCACTGCGTCGTCTGGTTGGAGCCCCCGCACGAGGTTATGGCCGCGTTGTCGCCCGTGACCGAGGAGCAAACATCGCGGAGACAGCCTCCAGACCAGTCTGGTTGCGTGCACGAATCCCGGCTGAACAGTGCAGGCGTGACCGCACGGCCCGTCTGCGCGTCGGCGAGTTGCAGTTGGCAGAGACCGTTGGCGAGGCAGATGTCGGGCCCGGTGAACTCAAGCTGCTGTTGACCGGACGCATTTTCGGTGAGTGCGCTGTCGTCACCATTGGTGGCTTGTCGTTCTTTGACTCGACTTGGTTGACGACCGAGATTGCAGCACATGCTGGCGCTGTTGCTGTTCGCGCCGCTCTGAAGGCACGGAACGACGCCCGGATCGGTCACTGATGAGCCATCGAGGTTGAAACACTGTGCAGTGATGCCAGGCACCAGGCCTGACAGGACGAGGAGGGATAGAAGGCGATAAGTCGCCAGAGACCTTGATATTGACTTCATATTGGTACGTGTTTGCTGTTTCTCGTCAGGACCGTAACTGTTGAAGCATGGCTTATTGTTTCTCGTGTAAAGCGATACACAGCAAAACGACGTCGACTTGAGGTGAAAAGAAAAGGGACTGATAATGACGGACTTGCGGCGAACAAAAGAAATTCAGCCCACAGCAGAACATCGCTTGAGTATGCTGAGTCCCAAGATTTGCATTTTCGAAGCACCCCGTACCCAGCATCGTCCTGAGAATATCATCTTCGTCGGAGACTTTCCATTTTCCCATTCAGCCTTCCGCCCAGGGGGCTTTTGAGTCGTCAACTACAAAACCCACGTCCCGACTTCGACATGGACACTGGCGACGGGCTCCTACGGTCTCGACATCTCCTACACAACCTTTTGTTTACCCGGGTGATCGACAACGAGGTAAAATGGGAAGGAAGAAAGCCGCATCGCCAGCTTACATGTTTCGGTGTTGGGAGGAGATGAACAACGCAGAGAGTCGTCGAGGGCAGATGGGAACAGAACATCAAAGTTTAATTGTGTCCTCCAGATTATTGCCACTTGACCCCAGTTTTGATGCTCGTCTCATGTCACGATCAGCCGGAGGGGCTGGGCATGTTCGACATTCTGTCTCGCACCTCTGCCGCGCACGAGCCCGCACCCGAGCGTTTGTTCCTACAGATAGAAGGGCTGTTATCGTAAAGAGCGAGTAAGGTATGTTGTACTCACTGCTCCTCTTTGTATTTCTATCCACAAAGAACATGTTTCCGTTGTTACCAATTTTGCCACGAACGGTTTCATGTCTTGGACCCAAGAGGATTTCATATTTCGAACGCGGACAACTTTCATGGCAAATTCTGGTGCGACGATCAAACCTCACTTTTCCACGCTCTACACATGCATCTACCGACAAATAATGACGACGTTTCGAAAAGTAAAATAAAATAAAACAGTCGAAGAGGTTGAAAAAGTTGGTGGAAAACCAAAAACGCGACAAGACCATTTGTACAAGCACCGCCACATCCTCTCAGCCATATCTCTATCAACAGCCACGACCGGAGTCTCGGACGGCCGCTCGCAAGGTCGGAACACTGCCGTGTCAGATACCGCACGGAAAGCGTTAATGGAGCCCTCGCTTTCATTTTTTCCCAAATTGTTAAGTATGTCTCGATTGTATCTTACCTGGTCTGCCTCCTAGGTGACAATCCTTCAACCTCCGGTGTCTCCTCACTACAAAATAAGTGTCAGCACACCCCCCAATGATGACACTAATGCAGTGCTTGGAGTGGGTAAAGGGACTTAGCTGCACCGTTACGGGTGCTTGTTGTGTGTCTTTTGTCCAGTATTCCGGAGTATCCTTGGCCAGGTCGGAGAAACCCCACGAGCCAGACGAGAGATTCTCCGCCCGCAGCGAACGACTGCCAAACATACACAAAACGAATCAAGCCAGAATAAAAAGAGCAAAATCGGACTATCCATCGTTGGAGGCCATGATAGACGCAGGCTTGGTTCGATTTAGAACATAGCTCCTAATGGCTGGGTCGCCGCACCTTGAAGAGCGCGTTACTTGTAACGGACGTGGCGTCTTTCTCATTCCCTTCCGGGTCCGCCGTTCAGCGCAATTGCCTGTTTACTGAGCGGAGCTTGTTCTTCCCCCCGGTATGTTCAATGTAATACAGTCACAGCCGCCGTCAATCGGACGGCAATCTCCAATTCAAGGAGCGTTAGAGCAGAGCACGGAAAACAAAAACCGGACTAACAAACACGCAAGTTGGGGCAATTCATAGGTGGTGAGTTTTTATCTGACCTCATCTGCTTTTTTTTAGTACAAAAGCATCATATTTTTAACAGCTCGTTATCCAGTTAAGCGATTCAAAATGCTTTGACACAGCTGAAGACTTGCCTATCCTCCGTCCGGGCGCAACCTCACGGATCACCTACTAGATGAGTGCAGACGAAAGATCAAGCTGACTGCTTTGTGTAATAGACAAAGAGAGTGAGGGATAGAAGAAAAGTTGACAGAAGCCGAATGTTTGCAGGTGACAGCCTGACAACCGCAGTGGGACAACGAGGTACAAGCAAGAACAAACAAGGACCTGCTCAGCAAGGTACTGGTCGAAGGAAGAATCATACAAATAAGTATCTCAGCCCATGTCAGACGGGAACAATGAATCAGTAGCGGAAGAGCATCTCGCGGTGATGTTCTGCCTCTGCAGCAGACAAAGCAAGAAGTTCGAAATGAGGCAACAGATGTCCCGAAGGTATCTCATCGAGATGAAATACTAGACATCGAGACCTGATACAAAAGCAAGATGTGTGGAAAATGTACTCACACCCCTGCAAGAACTTGTGTCTGAGATAACAAAAAAAGGTCTCGGGGACAAAAAAATATGGAGTTGACAACAGCCTCGCAGATAGATTCTCCGGATCTCCAAAGCCGTCCAAGACCATCTCCGGCCGTCCAGGTTGCCAATTAGATGGGGATTACGATGTTCATTTACGGCCAAGCACGCCGTCTTCATGCAACAAATGAGATACAAGAGATCGACCGAGGGCCACGTTGAATGCACACAGTAAAACGACAAAAGGAACAAGGCGGTGGAAGTAATTTTATCTCACACCCTGACACCCAAAAAGGGTCACAGAGATTTTCAATAATACCGCCCCTTTGGTTGTTCGTTGTGTTTGGCAGGATGTATGAAGAAGCGGGCGCACTTACATGACATTCAGTGGATGGGGGACGAGGGTAACGATTTCCCATCTACCAATGAGGTTGGTTTCCTCAGCACCGGCCCCGCAGCGTTTTGGCAAAGTGCTGGGCGCCAGTGGTGCCCCTGACCTCAAATTGTGCAGTGGGATATGGAACGCTATGCGGTCCAGCCTCCACTTTCTGGCAATATTTGGGGTGCTGTGACACTTTTTTCTGGGCCAACTTGACAGTTCATGTTCGTCTTGTTTCTTGTTGACGCTTTTATGACGCTCACCGGCCGCTAGTCCGCAACCTAACGTACTGTCCCGATGTCTTTTGGAGGGTGTGCAGACGAGTAAGTGGAGTTTTGTCGACTGCATCTGTGGAGAGAGAAAGGGACGTCGAGAGAGGGACAAGCCACGACGAGTTACGACAGGTAACCTTACTGAGTAGCTCCGGCACGCCTAGCACTGTCTGTGAGGTATCTCCAAGGAACGAGATGGTCAGATATGGGCTAAAGATGGGCAACAGGCCCCATGGGATGTTTGTCAGCCGGGAAGGCAAAGATACAGGCCGAAAAAGGAGACGGCCACCATAGGTCGGCGTGTAAGAAGGACATAAAGACACGATTGTGCGCAGGGTTCCGAAGAGGAGAACATAAAAAGAATAAAAGACGGGGCTGCCTGTCATCTGTCTGTTTCTATCTCGTCTGTCTTGGGTCTTTTACAGTTGTTTGCTTTCTTTTCTTTTTTATTTCTCTCCCATTTCCTTCATCTTCGGCCAGTGTCGAGGGCGCTTACTATCACGACCAGTTGAAACACCAATATCACGATACCAAACTTCGGCGTATATTTACAGCACACAGCCATACGCAGGACGACCAGACATAGCAGAATCCGCACAAACGACAGCCCATCATGGGTGCCATTCCTTTCGAGCTCATCCCGCAGTACCTGGGCGTGGCCAGCCTGGGTCTGGTGGCCGTCATCTCGCTCTACACGCTGTGGACCATCATCTACAACCTCTTTTTCCACCCGCTGTCGCGTTTCCCCGGCCCCTTTCTGGCCAAGATTTCCCCTGTGCGTCGTCTCCCCATTTGATTTGATACCTGGAAACACCGGGAGAGCTTCGACTGACCAGCCCAGATCTACTCCATCTATGGTCTCTTCCGCGGCCGGTGGCCTTTTGACGTGCACCAGCTGCATCTCAAGTATGGCCCGATCCTGCGTCTGATGCCCAACGAGCTGTCCTTTATCGAACCCGAGGCCTGGCGCGACATCTACGGCCATCGCCAAGGCCACCCACAGTTCCACAAGGATCGTACGTCATCTGTGTCCCTTTCCCTTTTAATTTTGTTCCCGCTAACAACATAGCCATCCATGTCGGCTCCGTCCAGGACATCCCCGGCTCAACGACGCTCACGATGGCCGACGACACCAACCACAGCCGCCAGCGCCGCACTCTCGCGCACGCCTTCAGCCAAAAGGCGCTGCTCGAGCAGGAGAGCATCATACGCGGCTACGTGGACCTGTTCATCGAAAAGCTCACGCCGTTCAGCAAGTCGGGCGAGCGCATCAACATGTGCGACTGGTTCAACTTCACCACCTTTGACATTATCGGCGACATGGCCTTTGGCGAGCCCTTCGGCTGCCTGCGCGACGGCGTCTTCCACGCCTGGGTCTCGCTCATCACGCAGACGATCAAGGCCGGCGCCTTTGAGCAGGCGACCCGCCGCATGGCCACCACCGGCAGTCTCGTGCAGACGTTCCTCGTGCGCCTGATTCCCAGCGACCTGCGCCGCAAGCGCTTCGAGCACCTGGAGCTCAGCAAGGAGAAGTGCCTCAAGCGCATCGAGGAGGGCCTCCGCCGCGAGCACCACGACTTCCTGTACTACATTCTGCGTGCCAACGAGAAGGGCGGCGTCCGCCAGGACGAGATCATCCTCAACAGCGCGCTGTTTATCGTCGCCGGCTCCGAGACGACGGCGTCGCTGCTGGCGGGCCTGACCATGTGGCTGATGCGCACGCCGCACGCGTACAAGCGCCTGACGGACGAGATCCGCACGCGCTTCCCGACGGCCGAGAAGATGAACTTTACCGACCTGCAGGAGTGCGCGTACATGAACGCCTGCATCGACGAGGCCCTGCGCATCTTCCCGCCCATCCCCACGGGGCTGACCCGCACGGTGCCCGAGGGCGGCGACACCGTGGCCGGCGAGATGCTGCCGGGCGGGACGACGGTGTCGGTGTACTCGTGGGCGGCCACGCACTCGCCGCGCAACTTCCAGCGCCCCGACGAGTTCATCCCCGAGCGCTGGTTCAACCCGGCGTTTGCCAACGAGAACAAGGACGCCAGCCAGCCCTTCTCGCTGGGCCCGCGCGGCTGCATCGGCCGGCACCTGACGTTCCTGGAGCTGCGCCTGATCCTGGCCAACCTGCTGTGGCACTTTGACCTCGAGCGCGCGGACAAGAGCGCGGCCGTCGACATCTGGGACATTGCGGGCGACCTCAAGCACGTCAAGGCCTTCAACACGTGGAACAAGCCGCCCCTGTGGACCAAGCTGACGCCGGTGAAGCGCTGAGACGCGTGAGCGAGTGTGAACGGGAGGGAGAGACATGAGGACCTGCGGAGAATGACGATGCGAAGACAGGCCACGACATAGCACTCGGCGTCATTACAAAAGGTCATGAGGAGACGGAGAATGGAAGTGGAAGCAGCGGTGGAGGAATATCAAAAACAGGCGGCCACAAAAAGGCCTGGATCTGGATCTGAACAAGATGACGTGAAACATGTACAATGAAGAACAATGAAAAAGTCAGATTGAGAAGCTCAAGCGTAGTAAATAGGAGGAATACATTCAAAGTTCCATAATAGAGGCAATAGAACCGATGCATCCACCGCATCGCCACCCACTCCAACCTACTTGGACAGCCGGAAGAGAGGCCCTTTGCTGCGGATCTGCTCCCCCTTCCAGATAAAGGGCCCCATCAGCAGCGGGAACAGCGCCAGCGGGATGACGGCGTAGACGATGTAGGGCGTGCGGGCGCCGGCCGAGGCGATCCAGCCGGGCGTGTAAAAGGGCGGGTGGAAGCACATGAGATTGAAAAAGAACTGGAAGACAATGGCGACCTCGGCGGCCTGGTCCGGGTAGCAGTCGGTCATGTACGTCATGACGACGGTGACGATGATTTCCTGGCCAAAGACGAAGAGGATCATGCCGGCCAGGGGCGACGCCCAGTCGCCGGGGGCGCTGCCCTGCAGCTGGATGCCGTACACCAGGAGGCCGGCGACGATGGTGACGAGGCCGGTGACGCTGAGGACCAGCAGCGTCTCGGCGCGCCAGCCGTGTTCCTTTTTGAGCGCGCGCCTGACCAGCAGGTCGCACAGGGGGCCGGCGAGCAGCTCGCCGGAAAAGGCGCCGATGAGGCCGGAGAGGAAGCAGTAGCCGACCTGGGCGGTGGTGAAGTGGAAGCGGCTGGTGATGCCGAAGTTGAGGGTGAAGCCGGCCGTGTTGGCGACCTCGGTCATGACGGCCGTCGACACCCAGAACGACGGGACCACGACGGCCGGGTAGACGAACATGGCGTAGGGGCGGCGGAACGTCTGCAGCCACGACTCGCCCGTCGGGTTGGTCGGCGTGCGGAACCCGAAACGGCGCGCCACGCTGTGGGGGTGGTGGCGGTGACCGCCGCGCTCGTAAATCGTCTCGGGCACCAGACAAAACTGGCCCGTCAGCTGCACGGCGTAGGTGATGGCCGACACGTACATGGACCAGCGCCAGCCCAGCGTGGGGTTCTGCTGGATGGCGCCGCCGGCCACGCCGCCGACGTACGGCGCCACGACCAGCAGGATGGAATTGACGCCCATGCGGGAGCCCTTTTCGTGCAAAAAGAACATGTCCGAGATGGCGGCGGGGCCGATGCACAGGCCGGCGCTGCCGCCGAAGCCCATGACCATGCGGCAGCCCAGGGCCTGGGCGTACGACCCGCTGCGGGCGACGCCAATGGCGGCGACGAGGGCAATGACCTGGCTCGCGAGCAGCACAGGACGGCGGCCGACGCGGTGGCTCAGGGGGATCCAGAAGAAGGGGGCGATGGCGTAGAGGATGGACGGGGCCGAGCCGATGTAGGTGGCCTTGGAGGCGGCGGTATGGAACTGGGCGGCCAGCGAATGGGCGCCGGGGGCCTACAGCAGATGCAGCAGAGTGAGAAAGGGAGTTGTGCAAATGGGAAGCTGGACGATGGGTGGCCCGACAACTGACAATCAATGTGGCCGAGAACTTGACGAGCAGCGACTCGAGGGCCAGGATGAACATGGCGGCGTGCTTTTTGGCAAAGCTCCAGTTCTGCATCGTGGGGCGTCAGCATGTTGATCTTGTTCCTCGCCGTTGTCGATTGGATTGCGTGCTTACCAGAGGATCCTCGGGGTCGTCGCTCGGCTGGGGCACGAGCGCGATGCCGTGCTTGTTGCACTTGAGCGGCGGGCCGTCTGTCTTGTCCGACGACGGCGGGTGGCGGCCCACCGCGTCGACAGCGACGCCGTGTTTGGTGTCCATGGCGGTTGGGGTGGAGGTAAACGAGGAGAGGGGGGGGGGGAGGGGGGTTAACACAAGACAGCAAAAGAAGATAAATGACAGAAGAAAGAGGAGCGACAACAATCAATAGAGAGAGTCACTTGATGGCCGTCAGAACAACAGACGCACATCAACCCAATAAATTGGACGGCAGGAGTGCATGTCCATGTTATATCCTCGCCGTTCCGCGGTCGCAGCCACATCAACTGTATGACAGCCGACAGATATCACGAGGCAACAGTGATAGAGATCCTGTATCTCCGTACGTGGCAGGCCAGCATGTACTGTACACTCTGCAGCTCTGATAGCGGACCGGGTAGCGCTCATACCGCAGGCTTCTCACGGTTCCGAAGATGCATAACATCGTCGAGGGAGGAAGACAAGCACAGACTATGGGGTATGCATGGGTGCAAGAAGAGGATGCAAGACGCCCACTTACATGACTCGACTCGACGCGACTCGACAATACGACTCAATAACAGTCAAACGCATTCGAAGCCCCCCACAAACCCAATCCAGCTTGGCCCGTCTGGCTGTATAGCTATCGCTCGTCTTGGCGCCGGGGAGGGGAGATGGGAAACTGGGACGACGCAACGGTGGCGGTCTGCATTTAAACCGCAATGAGGAGCGAGGAGTATCGTCCGGGGACGACTACCAAGTAGCATGGACGACCATAACCTCCACTGATAAGCTTCCGGCGGCTTTGGCATGCCTTGACGGCAAGCCTCTGGAGACGTGGGACGAGATAAAAGGTACGGTGGAAGGATGAAGAACAAATCTGAAAGAAGACGAAGACGAAGAAAAGATAAAAATAAAGAAAATAAAGACGATGCCTGCAGGCAGAGATAAAGCCATGGACATCGACGTCGACGCAACGGAGACTAAAATCAAACGAGGTCCTCGGACTGTGACTGTGGACATTGTCTTTGGTGGAGACCATTTACATGTCGTTCCAGTTGATTATCTTCACGTTCTCTCTCTCTCGCTCTCCTCTTATTTTGTGTTCTTCCTCCTTGCTCCTGCCCCGAAGCTGCGTCGACTTTGCTGCCATGGACTTGCCTGCTACTAACAGCCTTCCCACTGTAACTTCGGGCTGTAGCAGGTTTACAGTAGACAGTTCACCTGCCAGACAGCGCTTTGGCAAGCTCGTTGTGCCGTCAGACAGCTACAAGGCCCTGGAACCTGGCAGGCAGGCTAGCCTCATCTCCTCCTACTTCGCCTGTTAGCCCGTCCTTGGCCTTTCAGCCCCAGGCTCGACCAACCGCTGGTGCTTCCATCGTTATTCCCACGCTACGTACCAGACTCGTTCTTGCCCTCTCTGGGATGGATCGCGGGTTGCATGCTTGCCGCCCCCAGATTTTCTCTTTCCGGTCTTTGGCGTTCTTTGTTGTCTTTCAAGTATTACTCTGTAACTACCATAACGTCGCTCCTTTGTCTCTCGACAACCACCAACCATGACAATGCGTCTTCACTCCATCTCCACGGACCCTCCAGCCACAATGTTGGCCACGAGATGCCATCCCGGCCCAGACCAGAGATAGGGAACAATGTCAAGTCCGAGTGGTCGAAATATTGGGCACTGGAAACTCACAAACGATCCGTCGTTTGAGGAACCCTTCTTGACTGCTCTCCCTTCTCCCTTGTCTGCTACTTGCTGCTCTCACGCTCTGCTTGTCATTCCGGGGGACCCCCTGAGACCCTCTGACGGCAGTCTTTGGCAGGTTTTGCGGCTCCCAGCTGTATCCACCCCGTTTGGACGAACCTGTGACGTGTAAATTGTGGATGACGCCGACATCAGGACATCACGACATCACAGCATCACAGCATCAAAGCATCTCAGCAGCACAGCATCACTTCTTCTCCTCTCCCAACATTGTCTTCGACAGGAGCCCCGTCCCCCTTCCCTCCCCGCCATGGCCCCAAAAAGCAGGCGTGTGCCACAGGAGCTGCGGCAGCGCACCGAAAAGAGCTGTGACCGCTGCAAGTCGCGCAAACAAAAGTGCGGCATGCTGCCCGGGAAGGACAAGTGCGCCCACTGCGCCAAGTATGGCTACAACTGTCTCGTCACCAAGCCGCGCAAGCAGCGTCTGTACGGCAGCGTCGAGGCCCACACCGAGCGGCTGGTGCTGCTCGAGGGGCTCGTCAAGCATTTTGTGCCCGACGCCGACCTCACCGGCACGGACGGCCTGAGGGAGCTGACGCGCAGTCTGGGTGTACCTCTCTTTCCCGGGGTGGCGTTAACCAGTCCACACGCAAACACAAACACAAATATAAACGCGCACTCGCAGCGTGCTGAGAGTGGACAGGCGCCCGCCGACGACGACACCGACAACGACGCCGTAGCCGACCCCTCTTGCACATCTGCTGCCTCTTCCATCCTCGTCAAGGCCAAACGGGACAACGAGATGCTCGTGCTCGACCTGCAGGGCCAGGGCCAGTACATCGGCCAGGCGAGCTCCTTCTTCTTCCAGGTGCGCCTCCGCGATGCTCTCGAGACCTGGATCGGCCGCGACGACCATCTGAGCAGCGCCGGCTCGCCCTCGAGCAGCGCCGGCACACCCGGCCGCATGCTGCTCTTCGGGCCCAACCCGGCCGACGACAACCGGCGCGCCAGTTTGGGTCATCGCAGCTACCCTGGTGTCGATGCCCTCATGGTGTGCTTCCCACAATCTCTCGCCGACCTGCTGCCCGGCCATCCTCCCGCTGAACGCTGGGCCGTCACGCAGCTGCTTGTGCGCACCTTTTTCGATCGCGTCAACAGCGATTTCCCCGTCCTGCACGAGGCCACCTTTCTGGAGCAGCTGGGCGCCTGGTCCCGCCATCCACACGAGACCGACCAGGCCTGGGTCTGTACGCTGTTGTGCGTTTTGATGCTTGCCTGGCGGCTGGTGGCGCCCACGTCCGTCGCCACATCCATGCCAGAGGCCATGCCGGAATCGGCATCTGCAGCCCCATCCCCGACCGTCGAGCTGCACTACCTCCAGGAGACCCGCTGGTGGCACCAGGCCCAAGCTCTCCTGCCCAAAGTCTTGTTCACCTCCAGCATGGCCTCTGTCCAGGCCCTCATGCTCACCGCCCTCCACCTGCACAACAACAACTCCCGTGACGTTTGCTGGACGCTGACGGGCGCCGCTGTGCGTATCGGGTTTGCCATTGGCCTGCACCGCGACGACGTCGTCGAGCCGGCCGAGCATGCATCGGCAGCAGCGGCATCGCCCACTGCCACTGCCACAAACACAGCCACCCCCGTCACCCGCGAGCTGCGCAAGCGCGTCTGGTGGACGCTCTATGCGTTCGAGCAGCTGCAGGTCTCGTCCCACGACCGGCCCAGCGCCATTGACTGCACAAAACACTTGCTGGCTGGCGCGCCCCGCGAGACCATCCTCGGCATGGGCGCCCACAACCCGCCCGAGTATGTCGTGTGGTCCAACCGCCTCGTCACCTTGCTGGGCGCGGCTTGCCGCAGCCTGCCGCCGGAGGGTGCCGATTGTGGGAGGGACAAGAAGAACCGCCACCCTCGCGTCCAACTCGGCCCCTTGTCGCCCGCGGCTGGCCTCCTGCACGACCTCGACCGCTGGCAATCCACCTTGCCGCGCCACCTCTCGGCCGACCTCATCGGTGCCATGCCCCCCTCCTTCCAGCGGCCACTCTTGCTTCTGCACGTCCAGTACAGCCACGTCTCCGCCCTCGTGTCGCGGCATGCCCTGCTGGCGCGCTTTGCCGCTGCATCCAAGCGTGTGCCGCTAGCCGAGCCCGTCCGTGTCATGGCTGATGTGTGTGTACAGGCAGGGCGCCTGTCGTGCGATTTGCTGCTGCAACTCGATGCCGTGGGTTGTTTCAATGCCCTGACCTGGATGGATGTGTACTATTTGTATTCGTCGGTGTTGATCGTCGTGTTGGCGTTTGTTTGTGAGGAGGCAGAGGGCAGCCAGCCGACGGCGCGTCAAACAAAAGAGACGGCATCGACGACTACCTCGACTACACCGCCACCAACGGCATCGGACCTCCGCCAACTGCTCGGTCGCTGCAAGACTCTCGCCGCCAAGCACCTCGCTAACCCCGTCGTCCCCGGCACCATGCGCCGCTGGCTGACCGTTGTGGGTGAGCTCGACGCCATGGCCAGCTACTTTGCCAGACAGAGGGGCTCCGCCAACGGGGATGGCCGTGTTCCCACGGAACAGGGACACCCCGACGAGTCTGCCACGGGCGACGCACTGCCGAACCCTCCTCTTATGACACCCTCGCCTGACAGCAACAGCGGCGGCGTCGGCAACACGTCGGACAATGACGTCGAAGAAGTCCCGCGGCCCGTCTACGACGAACACGAAAGCGATTACAGAGCGTACAATCGACGCAGCACGCGGCATCGGCCACGGCAAACGACGCGGTCACAGCACACTGACCGCCACAGCAGCTCCCACAACCGCCGCAGTGGCCGTATCAACAGCAACAACAACAACAGCAGCAGCAACAACCACAACCACAACCCCAACCACAACATGCGCTACACCCAGTCCGCCCTCCTGTCCCAACCACTGTCCTTGGCTGGCGACGCCGACTACGCCAGTCGCCAGTTGATGATGATTGCCACCTCGTCGCGCCACCATCCCATGGACGCCATGGACGCCATGGACGCCGTCGACACCATGGACACGGTCAACACCATCAACACGCTCGACACCATGGGTATGCCCCTGGACCTGCCCGCCGCCGCCGACAGCACCGCCACGTTCTTCTCGCACGCCGACGGGAGCACAGCGGCTGCCACGGCTGCCACCACAGCCCTGCTCGACGGCGCCGCCACGGACGACTACGGACCCTTCCAGGCGGCCGCCGATGCCGCGACCGAGACCGGCTTGTGGCACGAGATGCACTGGGAGGGCATTAGTGATTTGTTATTGGGCGTCGACTCCCGCTCCTGGGGAGCGTAAGCAATATATGTTGCGTGTGTCGGTGTTATGGCGTTCTATGGCTTCAGTGCGACTTGAGAGTTCTTGAACTGATCAATAATGGGATGCGGCAAGAATTGGATATTGGGCCACTTGTAACGGGATATGGTTATGTAGCATAGAGGGAGAGAATGTAGATATGTATCCAATTTGATGACATTATATCTGGCTGTAATGATTAAAGATTGTCAATGCTATTTCCTAACCATTACAACTGACAATTGAAAAGAAATTGCTTTTTGAGTGATTGTACATATATATATATATGTATATTTTTTTAAAAAAAACTAATACGATTTTAAATTCGCATAAATTCGACGAAATACTACTTACCTTTCTTTATCCAATTCGACAATACGTCGCAGATGCCACGAGAAAGCGACGCAATGTCTTCGTCCGTATGCCAGTGGAAGTCTTCATTTAGAGGTGTCACGGGACGGCGCGGTATAACCCCACTGAAAGCCCGCCTAAAAAACGCGGGGAGGGTCTCAGTAACGCGCCTACCGTCACCAGAGAGCGCCAACCTCAAAGCACGTCTTTTCGACATATGCATTGAGACAACTTCCTGCTCTTTGGCCATTGACCCCATCTGCACCAGCATCACCTATGTATTGCCTCTCCCCCTCGACTCCCCATGTCTCCGCCCGGACCGTCGCCGGCGCAGACGCCAGCCTCGCCTCGTCCAGACGACGCGACGGTGGACTCCTCTCGCCTTGACGTCCACGATGGTGACCGCATCGCTCTGGCCTCCCACAACGGAAACGACACTGCCGCAGGGACAGCTCTCACGAAGCAGACCTCTCGCTTCACCTACCGCCAGCTCGCCGACCTCGCCGCGGCCGCACCGGCCTGCCCCCTTCGCGTCATCGCCCACATCGACCTCGACGCCTACTACGCGCAGTGCGAGATGCGCCGCCTCGGCACCGCCGACGACACGCCGCTCGTCGTCCAGCAATGGCGCAGCATCATCGCCGTCAACTACCCGGCCCGCGCCTTTGGCATCAGCCGCATGATCAGCGCCGCCGAGGCCAAGCGCCTCTGCCCGGACCTCGTCCTGCAGCATGTGCCCACCTGGAAAGAGGGCTTGACCGAGTGGGCGTACCACGACGACGCCTACAAAGACATGGCCCACCACAAGGTCTCGCTCGAGCCCTACCGCATCCGCTCGCGCGAGATCCTGGCCACCATCAAGGAGAGCCTGCCCGGTGCCGGTGCTGGTGCCCAGGGCTGCAAGCTCGAAAAGGCTGGTATCGACGAGGTCTTTGTCGATCTGTCGTCCTACGTGCACGAGCTGCTCGTGCACCGGCTCTATCCGGACGTGCTCGCCGACTACCGCAAACACCACCATGACCAGCCAGGCGCGCTGCTTCCTCTGCCGCCCGTGACCGAAGCCGATCTCGACTGGGCGGCCACGGGCAGCGACGTCATTGACGAAAAGGACAAAAAGGACAGAAAGGACAGAAACGGCCAGGTTGGCAACGACGCGGACGAGGCCGGCGACAGCACCAACCACAACGATGAGGTCGTCGACTGGGACGATGTGGTCATGCTCGAGGGCGCCCGCATTGTCCGCGCCGTGCGCCAGACCCTCTACGACAAGCTGCAGTTCCGCTGCTCGGCCGGCATTGCCTCCAACAAGATGCTCAGCAAGCTCGGCTCCAGCCAGCACAAGCCCGACAAGCAGACCGTCCTGCGGCCCCGCGCCGTCGCGGCCTTTCTGGACGGGCTCACGTCCGTCACCAAGCTGCGCGGCCTCGGCGGCAAAATGGGCGCCCGTGTCGTCGCTGCCTTTGACACCGAGTCGATTGCCGAGCTGCGCACGCTCTCCGTCGCGCAGATGCAGGCCAAGCTCAACGACCAGGAGGCCGGGTTTCACATCCACAGCATGGTCCACGGCATCGACACGAGCGAGGTCTCGGCGCGCACCGACATCAAGTCGATTATTTCGGCCAAGTCGCTACAACCCCCGCTCACGACCATGGACCAGGCCCTGCGCTGGCTGCGCGTCTTCGCCGCCGAGCTCAAGTGCCGCCTGCTGGACGAGAAGCTGTCCCTGGCGCTGCTGGCCGCCGTGACGGTCAGCGCACAGGGGGCTGGCGGCGGCGATGGAAAGGACGAGCCAAGTGGGCACGGCGGCAGCCCTCCCCCTCCCCCTGCCCCTACCCCCGCAACCCATACGACTGCACACCAACAGCACGTCCAGCGGCTACGCCTTCCGCAGACCATTCGTCTGCACTACGGGGACGCCAGACATGGCCACCACTGGCGCTCGCGGCAGACCCGGATCCCGCGCGACGGCACGCCCCTCGACGAAGAGAAAATGCTCAGGCTCAGCACGCAGCTGCTCGAGCAGGCGCAGCGCGCCGGCGAGCTGTGGCCGTGTGCCCATCTTGCCATTAGCATGGACGGCTTTGATGAGCCAGTCAAGAACAACAAGAGCATCGAGTCGTTTTTCCAGAAAACGGCCGCACCCGGGACAACAGCGAGCCATAACGATGATTGTGCTGGTGGAGAAGACAATCAAGACAAAGACGATCAAGAAGACGATCAAGACAAAGACGATCAAGACAAAGACGATCAAGACAAAGACGATCAAGACAAAGACGATGTAGATAGCAATCTTCGGGACCTCGACGCCATTGATGCTCTTGACGCCCTTGATGAGCCGCTGGTCAAACGACGGCGGACGGAACGCGACGCAGCAGAGACGGCATCCCTGCCTCTGCTGTCCAAAGCAGGGGACGCGAGGCAGTACACAGCGAGTGACAAACACGGCAAACAAGGCAAGCAGGGAAAGCAAGGGAGAGCAGAGCGTACGAACAACATTGACGAACGGCCGCGAGCCACGTCGTCCAGCAGCGCCCGACGAAGTAACGCGGCCGCAGACGCAGGACCATCGAGTGTATCCACTTTCTTCCAGCCCAAAACCGACGGTGCGCCGAGAACTGGTCATGGAAACGGACACGACACGAGCAGCGGCCCATTTGCATGCGGCCAGTGCAGCACGTCGTTTCCATCGGCCGTCCTGCTGCAGGAGCATGACGACTGGCACGTCGCCCGCGCGCTGCACGCACGAGAGACGGCGACGACGACAACGACACAAGCGGCGGGAGCAGCGACAACAGCAGCGACAACAGCACCAACAACCGCCACACGTCGGCGGGGACCTGTCAAACGCGGGACGCCGACGACTCCGGCCAACTCCATCTCGTCTTTTTTTCAAAACCAAGCGCGATCGCCGACCAAAAAGGACAATGGCGGCAATAATGGCAACAACGGCGACGACAGAAACGGAGCGTCAGCGTCGGATGCGAGCCCAAGACCATTGACCTGCCAGCGCTGTGGAGCTGCATTGGACCATCCAGACGACCTGCAGGTGCACCAAGACTGGCACTTTGCCAAGGATCTCGAGACTGGATAAAGGAAGAGACGAAGGAGACGAGAAAAACAGACAAACATGAAAGTGGAAACTGAACGATAACGGAAGAACTGCCGGGCAAAGTCGGCAAAGTCCATGTCGACAGACACAAATACAAGCAGAAGGAAATGCACAGCAAGAAAACAAAACGATTGAGCGGTGTGCAAAATATGAAGAGTACTGCATGTCAGGCACGCATGCAGTGAGCTATGCATACCGTCGTCCTTGTCGTGACCAATTGGTGCCATCAGTACGACGTACTCTGGACATGTACGCACTGGTCGGCACCTGGTATCTCTATTTGGTGCCAGCTCTCGGGCCGGCCCTTTTGGAGTTGACTTTTTCTTTTCCTTTATCTGCCTTTCTGAGCCGAGTCCAACTTTGCAGATCCCGACATTTCTAGTTTTGTCGGCATGCCGACCTACAGAGACGACACTGGCGTGCCGACCTCGACGACAAATTGGAGAGTATCGGCATGCCGACGTCGAGGAAAAACAACCAAATTTCTCGGCAAGCCGAGATGAAGAAAACGACCAATGTCGGCATGCCGATATCAATGAGAAAGGGATAGAGTGGCACGTTGACTTTCAGAACAGCCAGGACAGTCTCCTTGCCGGCCGACCTCTACAAAAGTCGAACCTTTCGGCAAGCCGACATCGACAAGTAGGCGTACCTCGGCAAGCCGACTTCCAAAAGAGTCATGAAAATCGGCTTGCTGGCCCCAAAAGAAGCAACATAACTCGGCAAGCCGACTACTAGAATCGTCGAGACATCGGCTTGTAGCCTTCATTGCAAGTCAAAACCTTTCAGCAAAGGGTACCTCGGCAAGCCAACTGCCAGATTAGTCTAGACTATCGGCTTGCCGACTTCAATACGAATCGAATTCTCGGCATGCCAAGCAAGATAACTCGGCCCGTCGACTTGGACGAAAGGCAAACCATCTCTGTTTGCCGTCCTAGTCAAAACGCTGATATCCGTGAGACCATGAGAAGCAGGAGACCGGCATGCCGATGCCAAAGCAAACGAAAAGTATGGATGAGTACTGTCGGCATGCCGAGTCAACAAAGAGGAGACAATGCATGTAGGCATACCGACCTCGACAAATATGGTTCGGTCGGGACTCTCGACTTGCGCGAGGGCCAACCGACCTCGAAAACTCTCGGCCCGGAGGCTCGTATTGTTCATCAATGGAAAGAGCAAAGAATAAAAAGGGAACAAAAGGGGGGCATAACTACGAAGAAGGGTTTGAATATGACTGTGTAAATACAGTATTTACACTGTGAATATGAATATACTGTAAACGGCTAGTCAATGGCTGCATATTATTACATTGCTTGACTGCAATCGTTTTGCGGCCCAACCTTTGCGGCCCAACCCAACGAATTTGGATGCTACCGGGCAGACATGACAGAAAACGAGACCCGTCGGGCTGCCCATTGTTTCGAGAGATGTGCAGATGGACACCTGACACGCTCTCTTCGGATTCCAAGACTATGTGATATTTTGTCTTGGCCTATTGGGACCCCGTTTCGAGGCCCCATCATGCACGCTCCACCGACAGTATAAACTGGACCGACGTACTCGTAAGATAGTTTACATCCCATGCCCAAGATGATAGCAAACACAATAGGGCGTCAGGGCGTGTGGGCGTGTAGGGCTCCTTTTTGCCACACGTTCTGGTGGATACCGGCTGTCAGAAGGCAGCTAGGAAGCGGCAAGTGGAAAGAGCCGCCTGCGCCAAAACGGCTGGCAGGTAGCAATACTGGACGAACAGGACAGAGACACATCACTGTGGCGGATTTGGAAAGCAGGGCGGCCAGACCGAGAACCGTTCGTATAAAACAAACACTGCCGCACTCGAGTCAGATGCGTTGTTTTGTGCTGAAATCGGATGCACAAGACAGCTATTTAGACTCGTCGCTGCCTCCCACTGTCCGTTACTCGCCTCTTCGGTGCGTCTCTTCCTTGCCTGTTTCACTGCACTGAGTTGGATTGAATGCAGAGCTTGGGCAGCCCATAGGAAAGCAGGGGTGTCTGATAGGCGCCCAGGCGCCGCAGGATGTCAGCGGTGACAAAACAACAAAAAAACAAGAAAAAGCGAGCCACGTCTGTCCTTTTTTTCGCCTCTTCTGTGTGCCCCAGTGCAACCTGCAGCCAGCCTTTTGGGGCAGCGTGTCTTGGAGTTGTGCTCTTTGATCTGTCGGTCAGCTTGTGCTTCTATGCACTGGTGGCAGTGTACTTTACAATGCATGTTGTCTTGTTTTCAAATGCTGCTTTACTTCGTAATTCGTACTTTCTTTGTAATTCGTAGCCAGTGTCACCGCCACACCATCCCTGCTGCTCTGGCCAATGGTACGGCTGGAATAGCCACGACTGTCAAAGGATCGCTACCTTCCACTTTAGCTCGGTCAGCCTTTTTGGCTGCCGTTTCACATACGCACCAGGCCCATAAGGCCAGGCTACCTTCCCCACTAGGCCCTGTAGCAGCTTCTACAAGTACAGGGGGCAGCAGACTGGCCTTTGCGCTTTCCCTCTTTGCCTCTTTCCGTCGTCGGTGTCTTTGTCCTCCCTCGTTGGGAAGCGACGTCGTCCCATCTTGCGACCGATCGCTCCTTTCGACCCAGAAAGGAGCTTTGCACCTTCTCCCTCCACGTTGTAAACAATCCCCCTTTTTGGCTTCCCTCCCTTTTTTGCCTTTTACTATCACCACATATTGGCTCTTTTGTCGCAGCTCAAGTCAACTTCAGTCCAACCGTCCAGCTTTATGTCTTCCTCCTGGACCGTCCCACCACCGCAACTTTATCGGAAAACCACTGGCTGGGCCTCTCGCAGGTCTCCGTATTACTCTACAGTCCACTTTTGTCTGTTCTCGCAACCAACCAGAGCGTCCCACGCAACACCCACGCGACGCCCTCCGGAGCTGGCGTTTTCGTGGCCTGCAACCGTCATTGGCTGCCAGGGGCTTGTTTTGCTGCTCGTTGGGTCACCCTTTTTCGTGCGAATTCCCTTGCTGCGTGCCCGATCCTATCAAATCGTCCAAGCCTTCCCGCCCAACATCTTGAAAACGGATCACCTCTCATTGAAGCGGCCCGACCTGCAGGCTCTGCTTTCAGCGCGTCCAGCGCTTCCAGCGGTTTCTATTGGAGAGATTGTGCAGTGACAACCCCCGAAGGCGGCCAAAAACAAGACTTGTTTCGCCACGGAGAGGTCGCCAAAAAGCAAGTCAAGGCCTGACTAGAACGGGCCTGCATCACTGCCCAATCTTCCCAGATCACGGGCTGCCAATTGCAATTGGCACAAAATTAGTTGATGTGGCGTCCACCTAACGACACGAGAACAATCATACCTTGCACATCCAATCTCCTTACCATTCGGACAGAAACTGTAACGACGTCGTCCGATTGATTCACATTCACTGCGCCTTGCTGGCTGCGATATACCACGGAAACGACTAAAACTCTATCTGGGAACCGAGCAAGAAGCAACGACACACTGCTCAGCCGTGCTGTTATTTGCTCCGTCCTGCGAAGAGCCCAGACGAGACCCACCGGTGCCACCTCATTTTACCAGCATCAGGCCCAATCCCAGGCCACCCTCTTCCCGCCTTGTTTCCTTGCCAAATTTTCCCCTGCGACCGCGCACCCCCGCCAATCGTGCTGCCCTGCCTGGTTGTCTTTCAGTTCGGGCCTACCCATTACGCTATTCCTGTTCCCTTTTCTTTCTTTCTTTTCCGTCGAATTCGCTTCCTCCCCCCCTCCGATTTAAAGTCTTGCAGCCGTTTTGCTTCTTCTATCGAGATCGTATTCCACCTTTTGTCGTTTGTCGTTACTTTTGTTTTGTCTTGTATCTGGGCGATTTGTATTGTTACTTTTCTCCTCGCTTTTCGTTTCCTCTCTCGGACCGCCTCTTGCGATCTTTGCTCTGGCTTCTGTTTCTCGCCTTTTCTGGAATCGTGATCTTCTCCCAACAATAAAAATGGCAAACCGCGGACGAGGCGCCGGCGCAAGCTACCCACCGAGCAACAATGCGCCACCACGGCAAAACGAGTATTTTGTTCCCCGCGACGGCATTGACCGTGAAGTCATCACGGCCGACATCTGTCGGTACTTGGGCAACGATGCCCTTGTCCGCCCGGGCACACACACAAATGTGAGTCGGCGTGTGCATGGCGTTCACCGCTGAACTCGCGGTTGAACATCACAGGAAATGCTGTGTCTGTGATGGGATCCAAGTATGCTGACCATATCTTCCCCATCGATAGGATAGTGGCCGTGTCATCCAGGGCTACTTCATCACCGCATATCGTAACTTGACATCCGTACGTCTTCCGTCCCTCTCTACGTGCATCCTGCCAACGGCGCTTACGCTCCGCATCCCTCATTTCACCCAATCGTCTAACCAAACCCCTCCGTCGACAGGCTATGATCGCCGATCTCAAGACCGACTCTGCGCGCTGGGACGCAGAGAGGCGGAAGAGTCAGTCTGGCGCAGGTACACTAGCTTATTCTCATCGAGACCGGCTCCACGATCGCGTACATAACCCTAACTCCCCTTCAGTCAAATACCAGGACTCCCAGATTAGAGACGGCCCGCAGCGCGGCGGCAACGTCAATATTCCTGTCGGAGGTGGTAACGGCGGAGGCGCCCCGTACGGCGGCTTGCAGTCTTCCTATGGCGGCAACTCTGCCGGCAACTACGACAGCGGCCCTCGCTATCCAGGCAGCGAGGCACCAGGATACAGCGCCTCTGGACCAGGAGGACCAGGCCCGGGCTCCTATGGCCCGCCTGGAGGACACGGCGGTTACAACAACGCTCCATACGCGCAGGGCGGACTACCACCCCAGACACAGTACCCTTCGCAGCAACAATCTCCCCAGGATCCGAGATACGGTGGCCCGCCTCCTCAGGTCGGCGGCCTTGGCGGTATTGGCGGCAACTACGGCGGACCTATCGGGGGCGCCGCCCACCCGCAACCACACGGCCAGGACGGCTACGCAAGTGGCGCACACTACGCCGTAGTGTCCAACCGGGATGCCTACTCCATGGACATGCAGATGACGGATGCCCCCTTGGCCCCCGCACGACGCAACTCCCCGCCCAGTGGCCCTGGCGGGTTCGGAAACCAAGGCAACAGCAGCCGCGGCTCGTACGGCAGCGGCGCACCCGGCACTGGTGGTGGCTACGGCGGATACTCGGCGCCGCCGCCACCAGCAAGTCACGCCGCTGCGTATGGCCAGCCTATCGACGGTGGCTACGGACGAGGTAGGTGATTCTTTTCAACCGAACCAGGTGTTTGTGTGGTATTGCTTTAATAGGCAAAAGGTTCCAGTCTACATACTCACGCACAGCTTCAGCTCCCAACGCAAACACTGGATACAGCCCTGCTCATGATGTGTCACCGCAGCCGCCCCACGCCCAACAGTATGAAGAACCCGCCCTCTCTACCCTCCCTCCCCGGCCTCCCCATCCCTCTTCCCCTGCTCGCTCTGGATCCGTTGCATCGAATAGTCAGGCTCAATTTCCAATCACCAATAGTGGACCACAACAAGCTGCTCCTCGCCATGGCCGGGAACAACGCGCCGCGAGCGAGCGCTCAGATCACCGCGATCGCCCTGAACGGCCCGGCGAACGTGAACGCGAGCGTGAGCGCGATGCCACACCTCCCAACCGGAATGGTCCCCCACCAAAGTCGGGCAGTGCCGCCCCTCACCACCTATATGGCCGGAGATGACCGTACGCCCTGGGTTCCTCTCACCCTCAACTCGAACTTCATCCGCAACAAAAACTAAAAGACTGATCTCGATATCGCATTCTTTTCCTCTGCTCATGGAAGGCGTTTGATTCCCTTTTGGTTGGTAGAGGCGCTCTGGCGCTCCTGATTTGGTTACGATTCTGCTAGAGTTCCTGATTCGTTTGCTGCTTTTCTTGCGTCTCTCAACTTTGGTCGCTCTCTCGTTCCTTGACCCATTTGAGTCTGCCTCAAACCAATTCTTCTCGTTCCTGCTTCACGCCACGCTACGACTCTGTTTTATTTTGCAACGCTTACATGGCCAAGCCATGGCTTTGTCACTTGTTTACATTTTCTGTTGTTTACGCTCTGTCCTTTTTTTTCTTTTTTCTTTCTTCTTTTTTTTTTTTTTTTTTCCTTTTCTGGACTCGTTGGCACCGCCTTCGATCTATCTAAACCACTCGACACCACTGGACTTGGACTTCCCTACTCTAATCTGGACACCTCTGGCCACGGATCATTTCAATGCGACGAGATCACCTGTCCTACATACTCCTCCCTGGACCATTTTTGGACTGGCGTTTATTGACAGCTGGACCTTGCACGATGCTGATTCTCAGTCTGTGTACTCATTTTTGCTCAAGAATGCTCAATCTTACATGATTGAAGACAAATCAAATTTCTCAGCCTTCACCCGAAGGCAGTGGTTGTAAGGGTATCGTCTTACCGTCTTTTCATGTCTCGTCTTTCCTCTACAGTCTTTGGTCTCATTGTCTCTCCTTGGCCCGGCTTCAACCCTTTCTGGACCATTGCCATGCTGGCTCAAGTACCAATCGACTTAACGGACTTGTGCTTGACAGCACCATTTGTGGTCAAACATCTTCAAATGGAAGTCCCTCTTCCCATTCCAGCTCCTGTCTCAGCAATCAACCTGGACTTTGTAACATCTCGAAACCATATTCTTGAGGACATCAAGAAGTGACCACTCGGGGACGCGTGCATCTGATGACATCTATTCCCACTGGACCCTGGATCAACAAGCAACATATAATTTCATTTTCTCTTTATGGATCTATGGACTGGGCTTTGATTATCTGTACAGCATGTTCCCTTTTTGAAACGGACGAATGAATCAAACACTGGGCTGTGAATGATTTTCTTACACACCGCAGAATATTGCGTTCGTGCTCAGCCGTGCATAGCGGAATGACTATTTTCTTTCTGGACCCGCGACAATTTGGAAACATCTCGAACAATTTCGAAGGTGCTTGAATGAAACGACGAATGGGACAAATTGGACAAGCCCGTCCGGGATGGCCCAGGAACCTGACTGTGGCGAAGATTTTCGAGCCTGGTCTAATTATCATCTGTTTGAAGGCTTTCAACTGTCTGGCAGTCACAACTGTTTACTGCGGGGAAGACGAAGCGTCTCTGGACCCTCTCTCAAAAAACCCTATTTAATGCCGGCACATACCTCCTGTCCATTTTTTTCACGGTTGTTTATTTTTGGTCAACATGTTAGGGTCTCGGTGGCAATCGTTACTCTCTTCGTCGTTTTAAATGGTATGAATCGATAGCGAGGCCCCCCCTCCCCAGCTGCTTGCATACCTTGTCTTTATGCTGACATATTTCTTCGACAGAGCTGTACTTCTATCTGAACCCATTCAATGCACATGTGCTCCCATTGTCTTGTTGCGCGTCATACTTCGTTTGCTCCAGGGACTGCCAGACGACCAGTCTGCAAAGCTTACTTCCCGCACTGTCAACGTTATGCATGATCTCGGGTTCAGCCCGACAGAACTCTACGCAGTTCGAACCCAGGGAGCAGCCACCCTTTTGCTTTGGAATTGGTTACGATACGACTGGGCGCACTCGATGCGTGCCTGCCCTACGCAACAAGGTCTTTTATTTGATTTGATTTCGAATGCAAAGCGACCAAAAAAAAAAAAAAAAAAAAAAAAAAAAAAAAACCCTAAAATTTTGGACTGGAGTGGGCAACATTTCTGCACCTTTGTGCATTATAGTTTTGCAGCTGATACCCCGTGACGTGACCTTCTGCCTCTTTATCTTTCTTGCCTCTGCTTGGCGCGTTCTGGCTCCGCACTTCGATGCTCATTTCTTGTATTACGGTATGTTTTTTGCAGGTTTCTTTAACAGTGTTTCTGTGAGGGGTGGGGGGGGGGGGGTTCTACCGGACCTCTACCCTAGGATTGCAAGGCGAGGTATGCGACTACAACTACCTCCTACGACTGTGTCTTGAATTGCCTTCGCCGCCACGGAACAGTAGTCAAAAGTTGTACGCCGTCTTCGCTCAGGATACTAACACCGCGTGTTTAGAACATCCCACATCCAACTCATACGTTTGGCCTATGCCAGCCGTTCTGTGTACCCGACGCAAGGACTGACGGGCGGGCGCATCCCGGGTAGTGCTTGACTTTCCTGACGCACTCTATGGCTTGCCCTTGATTTGCTTCATCCAGTCATTTGCTCTCGACCCCAAACAGACAAGTCGCAACCAACGCAAAAACCAATGGCAGTGGAGGGAGATAGCGCAAAGGTACAAAACGACAACGTAATTGTCTCTCGTTTGGCATTTTGATTTTCTGTTTATGCTTTCGTATTGTTGTGCTGGAGTTTTGGATGCTTGCAGGCTTTTGTTTTAAATCTTCTTCATGGGCATCGTGTTATTTAGCGGTCCTCTGTTGTCTCTGTTATTGATCTGTTTCACGCCCGGACATGTGTTGTTTTGTCTTTGCATGTCTTGGACATGTCGTTGTGGCCCACGTTCATCTGGTCCGTGTCTACGGCTCGTTTCTGGGTTATTGTCTCTTTTATACTGCATAGTATCCTACAACAGGGCAAATGACCGAATTCCTCTTATCTTCTACCCAAGGCCCAAGCACCACTTTTCGTGCCATGATGTGCCCATCCAGTTCAGCTGTACTGCTTGTAGTTCAAGCCATGTATCAATCGGTCCCATATGCAACTGTGAAGCCAGCACAGCTCTGAAGATGCACCAACCAGCTCGCACTGGCTCTCCTCGGCGACGATACGATGAGATGAGTATGTCCATGGAGTCACCAAGAGCTTTCTAGAAGAACATGAAAGGGATGCGGACGCTGTTTATCCTTTCTTCCAACCGTATAGAAGGAGCTAGCGTCGTGGATGCATGAGGACGGCCTGCACTACTATGGCTACGGTGAACATGATCTCAGGATAGAGCACTACACTGCTTTGGTGGCAACACTCGTGCGGGAGGGGTCCGTGTCGTCTGCCAATTTCTTTCTCTTCCATGGAACAGGAGACTCAAGACATTCATGCGGTGGCTTGGTGCCTGTACTGCTTGCGCATTATTGTGCCTGGGGACACATGATGGTGCTGTGCTTGTATGGTCACAGCTCAGGCGAGATCGGCCGTGTGGCCGTACCTTCCGTCAAGAGATACATATGGGGTCGTATGGTCCTCTTCGAGATATGGACAAGTTTGCTCTTTCCCCAGTTGTTGTGGCCCTCGAACGCGCCTTCCCAGTCCGTCTGTTATTTGTTTACGTCGATGCTCTTTCCAAACCTGGCATCAAAGTCGTTACAGATGTTTCCGCACTCCCTTTTCCACACTTGGCGGTTTCTCCTTTCTTTTGATCTGAGATTTCGCAATCCGGCAATACCGAAGACGATTGGCTCCGAAACGGATGTGAGCCTCTTGGACGTCTGCGTTACCGGCTGTCCCACAGAACCACCACCGACAGCCAGCGACTTAGAGATCCTACAGGGTGACAGCCCTTAATACATATCCGATGACCAAATTGCGGCACAATTGTTCATATTGACTGCGAGATACATCTCCACAAGTTTTGCAAGTACCGTCTACTTTAGAGGAAGGTCTATGCATTGGCAGTTTCCCCGACGCCGACCAGCATAAAGAGGGCAGAAGATCCAAAAGCTGACACGAGCAGGCGGCTCCAGCATTGTGACTGACCACTCGAGATTTCCGTGTCGAAAGACTGCCCGACGCGCTTTATTAACATTGGAATCAATGTGGTTTGTCTTGTATCCCAATACTACTCACCGCGGCAAAATGTTTGTGTTGATGTCTGCGATATGCTAACTTTGTGTTTTACGGCAGATTCTCCCACGCCCTAGGGCTGGTCAATTTACCGTGGTCCACTTGGGTTGCTCACGTCGTTTTCAAATTGAAATCGATCCCTTGGCCAGCCGCGACTAGACATGGTAGGCACAGCTTTACCAATACTAACTTGCTGGACTAAGCGAAGTGCGTTAACAACAGTGCTGGTATACCCCGGGAAAACTTTTGCCATGATACGTGTGGCATCGAACCTTTCGACGCGTTTAAGCTCTAGAAGGTCAGTTTGATTTAGTGTCCCCTGGCCACTAACAAAAAGGGCCGAGCCTCTTCTAACGGCGACTTTGTCCACGGGCTTGGCAAGCTATATTAGGTTTGCCGGGCGGGATTGAAAACATGAAGCACCGGACTGCAGCGCTTAATCGGGGCCTTCGGCTCTAAAATGGCGACTGGCAGATGGCAATAAACGAACAGTGTCGTCGATCCGATCAACTGACGCTGACGGTAAATACCCGGCCGCCATAGAATCAAAGAATGCATGAATGCTTCGCAGTCAATTTCAGACAACGAACCGGGTACAATACAACATGACTGTTTCAAGGTCACCAGGCGGTCTCGACACCTAGCGGGGAAGGAGACTCGGCATGGTGTCTGGTGATGTTGTATTCGCCTGGCGGGTTGGTCAACGCGTGAGAGGTACTAGACTGAGAAACCGGGGCAGTTTGTGTGGAAGGACGCGAGTTGTACAGTAAGTTCACAAAACCAGCACCTATGGTTTCCATTCTGGTGCCGCTGGCTGCATTTGATATGCATGATGTTGCGAATACGTAGTGGTCTGCTTGAGAACCGGTGCCCTTCACACTCTGAGCGGAAGTGAGCGGAAAGCTAGCATGAGCCCAGTCGTTGACCACTAACACATCGACAGGTGTTCTTGCAGCGAACAAGAACCTGTCACCTCCAATGCCCAGGCCTCGCTTAAGG